CCGTACATACGTGCCGAAGACTTTGGTGAAGCAGTCTTCATAGAAAACTGCGAATGCCTGCCTAATGGCGTACAGCATTGAGGTTGCAGATTTAGCTGCCTTAGGGCATTGCATAGAAGACTTCAAGCTGTCTGCGATCCAGACTCCGAAATCTTCTAAAGTTTCTGCCTCTCCGAGTGGTATCTCGTCTCAATGATAGTAACGCGTTGTATGGATCCGATTTCGACCTCTTAGACGCAGTATGGTGCACTTATTCAAGTTGACGAACAGGAGACATGTGTGGGACTGCTCGTCCAGCCGACGAAAATTTTTTGATAGCTGGTCTCATCGGCAGCATTGTGGATGAATTTCCAGATTTTTATAACATCTACGAACATGGCTCAATCACAGTCAAATTTCTCTACACAATCATAAATAACAAGAAGAAGAGGGCCAGTCCGAGCACAGAGCCCTGTGGGACTCCACTCTAAATCACATTGCCCTTTGATTGCTGTTGCTCCAAGCAGACAATTTGAGGACAGTCGACGAGGAAATTCTCGATGCATTTAAGAAGTTTGCTGTCGATGCCCATCTTTCTAAACATGTAAAGGAGACGCTGATGCGGTATACTTTTGAACGTCCTCCGTAAATCAATGTTGAGTACTTGAGAAGCGTGTTTTTGATTGAGTGCACTTGTCCAGCTTTGCATTTTGTACAGCAAGTTCGTTACACACGATCGTTCGTTACGAAAGCCGTGTTGTGCATTGGACAAGTGGTTGTGGGTTCCTAAATAAGTCATTAGTTACCTTTTGATGATTTCCTTGACTTTGCAACAGATTGGTGTCCGAGTGACTGGCCTGTGGTTCGCGCAGGAGCACGATCACTGCTTTTATGCAGAGGTGTAATGCGGTTATTTTGCAGTCTGTGGGAAGGATTCCAGCGTCAAACGATGCCTGGTACCGAAAGGAGAGTGGCTTGGCTAAATCGCGGGAAAGTTCAGAGAGACGTTAACAAAAAATTCGAACAAACATGATCAAAAATGATGGTCCCTTGCAATGAAGGTTCACATAGACAGAATTTTTAGGCAGTAGGTCTGTCGAAGGTGGTAAGGTCAACAAAACAAGGATTCCCAAATCAAAAGTCAGGAAAGACCATGTGAGTCGAACAACTTTTACTGCTGTGGAAGTGCGCATACAAAGTTCCGCAAGCAGTCGCCGCGAGCGCGCTCTCCAAGCTATTTGTTATTCTGTGTCCGCCTTAGAGGAGCTGATAACCAGCGGGCGTGTGTGCCTATCGCTATTTCAGCGTCCACCAACCAATCAGAAGATGGACAGCGTTGATTTGCCTCGAGCACGCGCGAGGATTGTGAGGGGCGGACAGGAAGGCAGTGTGACAAAGGCGGAGGGCACAGAGACGCGAACTGTCGCAGGTCCACCTGAGATAAAGTCGCCGTCTGCCCCTTCCGCCATCAGTCGTGATCCGACGTTGTGCCCTCGCTCGTCCGCTACACATTCCCTTCACAATGCAGAGTGCTTGTTAGAGATCCTCGTACAGGTGCCTGCATATCATAGGGGAGACGTTACAAAAGGAACAGAGCTTTGACCCATGAAAGTTTTCGTGGCGATTTGAGAACTCTTTTGAGAAAATTTTGATCGTGAACCGAACGGGAGCTCAAGGTTTGCTTGTCATATTCCAAGTGAGGTCACACGAATGTTCCGAATGTCTTTGAGCAGACGCCTTCGTCGAAGTCCATCAATGCAGGCCTGATGGCTTACAGTACAGACGTTGCGCTTTTGGCCATTCTCGAAAAGTGAATGGTTTCAAGAAGTTCGTCATCAGCGCACCGAGATCCTTTTGGACCTCGACGTTTCGTAAGTCTGCACCGTCCAGAAAGTAATCTTTTATTCTGGCGGATCTGGCTCCGTTGTCTAAGCGAAGTATAGCGCACTTATCAATAGTAAAAAGCGAGAGCTAACAGTTTGAGCATTCCTCCTACCGATTTGGGTTCTTGTGCAGTCTGTCTTCGTAGGCCGGATACCGAATTGCACTCCATATTTTCAGGTCGATAGCAATCATTGCTGCTTCTCAGTCCAACGCTCTTGCTTAATCGTTTACGTTTATTGGGAACAATATGGACCTCAATATTGAACCCTGGGGAAAACTACTCTCAACCGCAGTAGGATTTGAATTCTTTTAACCGAAGCACGCCGCCTCATGCCGACCCGAAATGAAGTTATCTATCCCTTTGAGGAAGTTGCTTATAAAGCCCATTTTTTCAGTTTGTATAACAGCCTCTGGTGTGGCACAGTGTCAAACTCCTTCTGCAAGTTGACATAGGCTATGTGGACCGCGTGCCTGTCGTCGAGAGCTCAGGTCCACTTCTGGGGCGATTACAGGAAGTCCGTTGTACAGGATCTTCCTTTCGGTAATCCGCAATGGCATTTCGATAGATGCTCGTGAACTTCCAGGAATTGTGCCAGTTCATCCTTCATGGTCCTTCCCATATCTTTGCTGAAGTTGCATGTCAAGCTTACGGGCTTTTAATTTGTCGTCTATGCCTTGCTATCGCCTCTGAATAGAGGAGTTATATGCTCCAGCTTCCAATCCATAAGAAGGATCCCAATGTCAAATAACGTTTGAAAGAGCATCGATAGAGGCATAGAAAGCCCACCGGTTAGTTCTTTGTGAAGCTAGGGGGGAATCTCGTCGGGTCCCTGAGACTTCGATTGGTTCAATGCCTATAATTCTTTTCGGACAAAAAATTCTGTGAAAAGTATATTACTTATTTTCGGAGTCGGCAGTTATTCTGCTATCAGCAACCTCATCGTTGCCAGTAGTCCTTATTAAGGGAACTTGATGCCTGTTTCTTGTATTTCTTCGGAGGTAGCTGTAGAGTAAGTTTAGGTTCTGCGTTGACTTTAGCAGCAAGTTCTTCTAGGATTCCCGTCTCGTTCTTATAATCATGCCTGCCACTTTTTCCCTCTGTCTTGTAATTATTAAAATATTAATCTTATCCAGAGACAGAGTATTTTGTCCACAATTTATGCTTCCGATAAATGTCTTTCTTTAGGTGGATATTAAGTCACCCAGGTAACTTGTTCTGTCTTACACTCGTCGGTGTGCAGTAGCTGTTGGTGAGCTGCAGACGGTCAGCACGTAGTTCTCTATGTGTATTTGTAAGAAATATTTTATGCTGTGTGAGGAGAGCCTTTAAGAGTTGGTGCAGCAACGGGAGTCAAATGCCCATTTTGGTCTTGACGCTCTGAGTGAATTCCAGTAAATCTCTGGCGCCTTCAGGTTGACCATGATCCCAATATTATATCAAATGACAAAATTTTCCAACTGATTCCACAGATGAATATCGGAGACTTGGTCTGTACTAGTATGTAGTAAGGACATCCAGACACGGGGAACCAGTAGCCTTCATGGTCAATCAAATAGCTTCCGTGCTGCACGCACGCTTAGTGGTGTTTTCCGACACTCACTGCTCTTCTTTCACATGCACATATGCCACCATCCTGACGGTGATTCCGCTATCGCTATCATACCCGCACAGACAAGTTTCGGTGACTGCTATATCATCCAGCGGGATTTCGATAAGACAAAGCATTGACTCATCAAGATTCGATATGAGTCTCTGGGCCTTTGTATACAAGCACCTTAACTTTGCACTGGCCGAATTTACGACCACATTTTTCAATAATGCGTCTACGTCGTCTCAGACGCCATTTTCATCGGCCAGTTCTGCCGCTTGATGGGAATCATTAACGTCCAATTTTCGTGAATGAAAATTGTCCGGCCTAAATAATAATCTTGCGAAAAGGAGACCTTTTCCCGAATCTAGCCGGATATGCTACCGAAAAATGTTATTTATGGCTGCGTAGAGCACTATTCAAATAAAAAGTGGGAAACAAGGTTGTGGTCTATCCTTGTCCTGATTGATTGAAATTCTCCTGCCTCTGGATTCCATGTAACACTCTGCTGTTGTGGAAAATCTGCGATAGGGAGTGCACCACCCTGGAAAAGAAGAGTCGGCATGACCGTATGTTTGACAATGATGCATGGACATTTAATGGTCATAGATATGGAGTTGAGTGGTGTTAAAATCCAACTATTCGCAGGTGTAATTTTAGGTGGTAGGTTGTCTCAAATATGTTACGATGCAGTCCGGGATAGCATCCAATTTTGCTCCAAAGGCGGACCATGCGACGTATGCGCTGGATCGGATTTTGACAGGCGTTACCGGGATGCGCACCGTAACAAATGACAACATTCCGTGTGTGATATCAGGTTCAGATGCAGGCTCATGCCGCACATACTGAGATCTCTGTCTGCTCTCCACTTTTTCGCTGCTGCTTGAAATCCGAGTCTGATGTTTTTTGTGGAGCTGGGGTGTGGTAGTACGCCAAGGTGCGAGTCCGGTCGTGCCAGTCAGCTGCACCATCTACCGCGATCGGCCTTCTTGACTGTGTCTTAACAACGGTCCCAGAGGCGGGAGAGGGTGCGTCAGATGCTGCCCATTTAGGCTATTACTATAAACTAATTTGCAAACAAGTCGCCATGACGGCTGTCACCTTGCTTTGGAGCACGCTGTGTCCTAGTACTCAGTACCTAGGTACTACGGACAGTTCAGCGGTCGGGACAGTGCGTTAGCTAACGCACTGTTTTAAAAATTAATATTGCAGAAGAATTTCTAGGAGACCTGTTCATGAAATGGTCACTAAAACCGCCTTAGATAGTCTCAACAAGACTAATGGTAACTCATAAATAAAATGATAATCGTCACCTTTTTGATTAAATAATCTTAAAAAAGCGCGCTGTTATCAAACGTGTTTTCTTAGTGCGTATCTGCTCTTCTTGTGCTCTGGACCACTATTCCCGTCTCCCCTACGCCACTGCATCGTTTGCTTGGACGTGCTCCTTCCGATAACGCATAGTCCGTTTCTAGCAATATATTGTTTCCCTGAAGTGACTTCACTCGGATGACAGCCACTGGTGTTGATAGATGTTTATTCCTGTTGATGGATGATCTTCGAGATTGGCAGAGCCTAATACTGCAGTTTGAAAGCCTCCTGACCTGGGAGAAACCTGCGCTCCTGCTCAAAGTCATATTTTTAATTACCGTTTTTTACGGGAGCGTTTGGTTCTTCGAACCGCCTCTGCTGACTTCCATTGGCTTCCTCATAGTCGTCGTCAATCTGACTGATTACTTTGGGCGTTTGTTATCAAGCAGGTTGTCGAACTTTCTTTTTATTTATTCTATTGCAGATTCCGCTCGAACGTGTCATCGGCAGAGCAGTATCGTAAATACCTCGAGTTCTGCAAAAGACTTATCAACTTTCGCGTTCTCGTAATATCCACGTTTGAGTACATTGCATATCTTCGAAATCGTCGCCCTTTCATATACACGATTGTCTGTCTTAATGTTTTGCCTGTCCTGCTAGTAGTCGCCTACCGATTCGATGGAATCCTGCTAGCTTACTTTCTGACGATTTTTTTCCTGTTGGTACCCGGCGTACGGCACACCGGGCTACTGACGGTACGTCCAATCCTTGTTTACAAGTTTTCCATTGCTGTTTTTTTTCGGTAACTTAAGAGGAGCATATACAGGTTTCGTCTGTGCAGCAGAAAAATGCTAAAAAGCATTTACAACAAGGAAATAGGTGGCTCTAATAAGTAGTTGACAGGCATGTGAACCGACGTCTCGCGCGGTCAGAAAATGTGGGGAATTGTTGCCAGGACCCCATTCTTCACGTAACATATTTTATTTACTGTTGTATTGGCTACATCCTTGTGTGTTCTTTGTACTACGTGCAACAGTGCCCTCGCCAACATATCTTAACTTCACCTGCGTAGGCAACAGTCGTTACCTCCATCGCAGATTACTGAGTAGGCCTTCCGTTGTCTACATGCTGGCGTAAGACGTTATTGAAGATCTATTCATCTCTTATTATCCTGATTACCAATGTGACAGCGCAAACAAAACCCTTAACCTATGGATATCTGGAACTCGGGGCTGGGAGCGGACGAAGACTGTATCCTGTCTGTTGATTATTTGGGTGCCTTAAAGGGCATGCCATACGACCTTCGAACTAACAGGCTATACCAAGTGATGGAAGTGAGACTTATGCAGCAGCACAGGACACGCATCTGTACATTTTAAAGCCAGTAGTCTCGCTGCCATGATGCCTTGCATACACACACGGGGAATTTTCCATTGCAGCCGATAGGTTCTATTTTAAGAAGTAGCTTAGGATTGGAAAAATTATTTTTTGTCTACCTGACTATTTTGGGAACTCGTTGGTAGCCCTCGCTCCGATAATTCCTCGAGCGTATCAAATTCATTGTGACAAGACCTACCGAAATCATTGCGTTTTTCCATGTCGTTCCAGTCTTTTCTCCCACTGAATAGTACTCGATTGCAAAACCTCATACCACACTCATTGCTGATCATAGAATATCGCTAGAAGCCCTTTTAAACTGGCTAATAGACTACTATTTTGGGGATCTTTCTTAGCTTAAGTAGGGAACTTATTTAAACCTAACTTGACTGCTATCATGCCTGATCTAGCCGGCATGGATGATCTCGCGAATCTTACCCCTTTACACCGCATGACCTACGACAGGGGATCTGCAGAGCTCGACCCATTATATTCTCCAACGACCCCAAGGAAACCCCAGTCCTAATCATCAGGATGCTCACCTTCGCATGGTTTTCCAACCAGATGGCCTATCTGGGACTAAAGGGTCACTTCACGAACATCACTGTCGTCTCCGTGTGCGCACCAACATTGGGTAGAACAGTGCGATAAAGATATTTAAACGTGTAGCTGCAAGCGTTGGTTAAAAGACGTCTTCTCCGTGATCTGTTGGTTGTTCCCGGGAACTGGAACAGCCGAACTGGATTTGGTGACTCATCGAAAAACCACCTTATCGGGCGCTTTGGGTTTGATTCGCTATGCGACAGTAGTAAGAGGAAATTAAACTTTCCTGGCTGGGAACGATTATTTGTCGCCAGCACGTGCTTCCATTATCACGAGAAACATCTGCTGACCCGGTATTCAGACGACCGTCATACGGCCAATCAGATGGACTACGTACTAGTCAGCTCAAGGTTTCGCAACTGGGTTCACGATAGCAGATCGTTGCGTGGGGCCGAGACTGGTAACGCTTATGCGTCGGACTATGTCCTTGTTCGTACACACTTGAAAGTTTATCCTTCGTCCGCGGCAAAAATGCCACGTCCTAGACGCCTCGGTCGCAAAAATCTGGCAAGTCAACACTGCCGAGGCCCTGAACAGAAAAATCCGGTCCTGTTTTACGAACCGAGCTGACGAGGAAGGCACTAACCAGTGGTTGTCATTGAAAGAGTCAGTCTATGGTGCAGCTGAGAAAATCCTTGGATATACCCAGCGACACCGCAGTGACTGAATCACCGGAAGAACCCTGCAGTTATCTGCTCAGACAGCCGGAGCTCGGTCCCATATTGATGATTCTCTCCGCCGAACTCGGAAGATGACGGCAGAGTCGGCCAGGAATGACCGGAAACAATATTAGGCTGAAATAGCAACCTCCATGGGACAGGCCACGAAGGTTGGTGACACTAGAAAACGACAAACTTATCCGCCAAGTTAGTAGTAAGCCCTCCACACTGGATGCCTCTGTTCACGTGAATGACGGCTTTAGTGTTGACAACTCGGCCATAGTCGAGCGCCAGCGTGATCACTTCGATACTCAGCCCATCTCATCTTTGCTCTCCTCTGCAGCGGAGATTTTTCCCTCTCCAACCTATGTAATGCAATGCGACCCCCCTTCTGAAGATGTCATCGATGCCACACGAAAGTTACGCAACAGCAGGGCACACCGAGAGGACGGTATACCCGCTGAAATCTGCAAGTTTTGTGTCGACATTCTGGCGCCCCGGCTCCATGAGGTGATTGAACAAGGGTGGAGAAACAAGATTGCTCCTGATGACTGAGACTTAGGCATCCTTGTACCTATCCTCAAGAAGGGGGATAAGACGAGATACGAGAACTAACGCGGCATAAGCCTCATGGATGTTTCTGTGAAGATCTTCGCTGTTGTTCTACACAGGCGATTCCAGGCTGTGCGTGACTCTAGGACGAGGCCCAGCAAAGCCGGATTTCGTGCTGGTCGTGAATACGCGGACCAGGTATTCAAACTGAGGCACATTCTCGGATTTCGCCAGGGCTACCAGCAACCGACAGCCATCTGCTTTGTTGACGCGAGTTTTGGTTCTCAACAATCTTTCCCAATCGCTTTGGCATTCGGTCTGGTTTTCGACAGGGTTGTATCATTTCGCCCATTCTGTCCAACTACGCTATTGACTAGATTCTCAGGAGGGTCCTACACGAAGGTGACGGTGTTGAATTTGCACTCGGACACCGACTGACTGATCTCGACTATGTCGATGATAGTGCCTTACTTGCTTCAAGTTTTGATGAAAGAGGTCGCTAAATCGGTCGGCTTGTCTATAAACGCTGGGAAGACTAAAGTGTTTTCAAGCTGCATCCCTGACCAGGAGGGGCACCTCTCGGGATTGATGGCTGTCAACTTGAAGATGTAGACAGCTTTAAATACCTCGAGGCGGGGCTGCTGCCGAATGGGCAGAGTAAAGATGACATTGTCTCCCGAATCAATGCTGCCCGAGGGCTTTTCTCAAGCCTTAGAAAGTGCCCATGGATCCGACGCGACCTCTCCATCGCCATTAAAGTTCGTGTGTGCTGTGCATCTGTTTGGTCTGTCCTTCCTTATGGTTGTGAATGATGGGCTGTGCGCGTGGAAGGCAAGCCAAACTGGAGGTATTTGACCACTGCGCATGAGGACCATCATTCGGGTTAAGTACACCGACTTAGTCTCAAATGAGACAGCTCGCGCTCGCTGCGGCAACATCGCAAGGATAGCCCAGGCCATCCAAGAAGGACGTCTGAGGTGGTTTGGGTATGTTCTTCGTCGTCCACCTCAGGAGCTCAGTGTTACTGCCCTCGATCCGGTACCGTTACCCCATTGGAGGCGTCGAAGAGGGGGTTAACTCAAATCCTGGCTCGACACAATCCGTCAAGACATGGAGGTGGTTCTTGGACCTTCGGTATTTGGTCCCCGTCGTTGGCGAAGAGAATCGGTTGAAATATTCTGATCTGCTGCCGCAGATCGTCACGCGGCACAGTCCGTAACATCATCGAGGCTGGCCAGACCAGACCTGGTCACAGTCGTACCAAGTACAAGTGCGTGCCAGAGTGTGGGTACAAGACTTTCATCGATGATCCCGTCCTCTCCGGACACTCTTTTGCACAGAATTTGTATTGCATTGTCGATTCTACCGTGAGAGGGAGGTCACGCGCCGGAGAGCAATAAAACGTCTGGAGGAGGGTGACGGTCCGGTGGGTTGGCCGTCCAAGTTGAGAAAGTGCCCGAGGTATCCACGCCAAAACCAGACCTTGACTGAGTCGCTGGCAATAAGACCGCCATTCACATTGCGAATAGTCACTTAGCGCAGATAACACGTCACTAATTTGGCAAAGAATTCGACAGTTTTTTTTACTTTCACGGGCTCTGGATGTCTGTTCTATAAAAGTTGCCGCTTCAGTAGGGTAGTTTTGCCATCATCCCCAACTGACCTTGCCGTCATTCTCTGGAGTTGACGGAAGGAATCATCGTTGTGGGAATTGGCCCGAACCTTCTGGGCAAATAACTGTGAGCTTCTTTCGCTGTTCCGGCCACTACGACCCCACGGGGTGCCTGCTAGTCTTGTGACTACAAGGTTGGCCATCTGCCACTATGACCATAGTTGTAGAACGAAACTGCATCTCCATACACAAGACCACGGTTGTACTGAGTTGCCTTAGGTTTGTAACAATAAGGTCTCTTGCACGTGACAGTTTCGGTGCGGATGTGATGTAGACTTTGAGGCGTGTGTGGAAGAGAGCATGGGCCGAAACTTGGGCGTTGCCGGCTTCGACACCACCTATCAATCTGTGATCCTGACCCCAGATGCGGGACGTTAAACCAACTAAAATTTAGTTGATCTAGCCGTCCGTTCGGCTGTCGTTGGACCACCTGGCGAGGAAAGTCTGCAGCTGTGCTGTAAGCACTTGTTGATGACAACCAGCCGGTCTTGGTCAGCAAAGTTCGGCATTCTCACCATTGTTGCATCAAGAGTTAAGATCAAATCAGCAGATGAGATGACTGTTTGAAAAGTCGCCGACTCCAGGTCGACCATTCCAGTCCCCGATAACAAGCAATAGATCACGACGAGGAAGTCATAACTAACTTTTGCGGCTGTAATATTTTTTCATCACTCTGGTCCATTGCTGATGTTGGTACCTACGTGGAGACGACAGAGAAATAATGCAACCCTTCAGTCATAAATAGGGCAGCCAATCATTGATTGGTACCCGTATTGTGAAGGGCCGATCGCCACATCGTGTATACTGGAGTCGTGTGCGTCGCCGCGGCATAGAGTGAAGTGAGAGTTTGCTTTCGACTCTTGATTTCTCGGGCCACTGAGTCGGAGATTTGGACTTTAGACAAGCAACAGTGATCCACGTTGTACGGTTGAAGACTGAGCGGCGTTAGTCTTTGGGCACCAGAGTCTAGTGATGGTTGCACATCCCAAGACCTAATGTCATGCCATTTCAAATGGAATATCCCGCCTCATTATTAGTGCACTTATCGCCGGACCAGGTTTGCGGGGGCTCGTCGGTTCTTGCGGACGCCGCAGCATGAATCACGTTACTTGAATCGAGCCATTCTTAATGAGGTTTCTGGGTACTTTAAGTATAGGCGAGCCCTCAACAGCCATCGGGATTGTTGATTCCAGGCTGTCTTCTCTGTCAGTTTGAGCGAAAAATCTATTTACAAGGTAACGGTAGCAACAGAATACCAAAAAGGCACCTTGCGGCACCTCATAAGGCAATCAGAGTGCTAGACTTCAACTCCCCAAGCGTTGATGACATTGTCGCTGTAGTTCCTCGACTATTCACTCATCAGACCTGGCAGTCTGCTTATTTCTCAGCTAACCTCTTCTGAACGCCGCCCCATTATCTGCCATAAGTGGACACGGTGGGTTGCCAGCAGCTAGGGTAATGGGTAACCCGTATTTCCAGAAAACAAAAGCAAGCCGATATGTCTATTACTGACTGGTTTGTAAAGGCAAACTTTTATTCACAATATTAGATAATTAGTCGTGATAGATGTCGGCCGGAACTGTAAGTTTGGTTATTCAGTGCCATACTTTTGGCTCTCACATCAGACATTTCGGGCCTTTTAAACAACTTACGAACTTACTCTATTTCCCACGAAAGGCTGTGTATAAAATTAACCGGTTGTTGTCATAGTTGCTGCAATTGAGTACCAGTCAATTATGATCCATGAACTGAATATCTTTGTATCGGAGGTCTACCTGGTTTACGTACCTGAATTACGCCCTGGGGCACGCACAAATAAGGGCAAAGGTCATGCGCTGTCACCTCGCCGACACCCGTCCTGGTTCTGCCGGCCACTTCTTATCCTCAAAACACAACGAGTTAAGTTCTGATACTGCAAATTTTCGTTAGTGTCATCTACTACGCAAGCAAAGAACCAGTGCCCAGGAAGTAAAGTACTCGTCAACCACATCGACCCAACTAATTTGGGAGGAGTTCGTATATTTTTACTGCCCATAAAAGTGCATTTTCGTTGCTGAATGCTTTTGAGATTAACTGAACTAGCCCAAAGGACATTTCTTTCGAATAAATGCAAAAAGATACCAAGTTTGATATGTTTTGAGACATTCAAGTGTTGTCCAGGAATCCCTGATTCCTTTAAACGGCAATTATGAAATCTCACCAACTCGACCGGGAAGTTGTCGAATACGGATTCCTCCGACATGCACTTGTTCTGTTATCTCCGTTTTAGATTATTTCCTTTATGATTAGAAGAATACTCCGTTTCCTTCTTCATCTGGTTTCGCGATGTGGACGAATGATCATAAAGCTAGTGTCCAGACTGCGAAAACGAAGTCTAGCGGACGCAACCCGAACGTAAGGGTTCACTGCGACTGTAACGACTACACTTGCCTAACGGGCTTTCTTTACCTTCTTTTTATGCAGACACTTATTTCGTTTTTATTTATTCGCTTGAACATTGCGATCGCCTTTCACTAACACACCACCTGCCTTCTGGTGTACATTTCCTCTAATTTGTTTACTTACAGCAACTCTCGCCCACCCACTGCAGTACCGTGCATTTTACTTGCACCTCGGTTCCTTGCGGTGCTTATTTTATTACAGGCAATCTTGTTCCTTCATGCAGTACTTTTAAACTCCTCTCTTGTATCGATGGTAGGTGGCGCTGGCGTCTTTGGTCTTGAGGTCTGCGTAGCGCATATAGATCTTCTACCCTGCTTGCTCGTAAGCAAAACTGTTCTCACCGTCCGCCTGTCCATCCTTCAATGGGGACAGTGACCTCTGGAGGACATCCGAGTGATGTTAGTGACAACTCTGCCTCTTTAAGGCTCCACTGATCTTGTTTGTCTGTTCAGTGGAATTCTGCTTCCGCCTTTAACCTGTCGAAGTTTCGTGACATTACGTTGACTAGCGAGTTGAATGACAATTCCAAAGCAAAGGAAAAGTTGGCGATTTATAAGGGAATCGACAGGAGGGTATACAATCGGGGTCTTCCACAGTAGCGTCCTAGTCTGAATGGGTGGAAACTTCATACAGATAAAACACCTTGTTTCCCGACAGCTTCTATGCAACCAAAATACGTACTACCGGGAAAGTCATGCATTTCTGAAGCAACCTTAACTTGGCGTTGTGGATGCAAAAAACACGACATCAGATCACGCCTTCCATTTGGGACATGAAAACTCACCATCAGTGCACCTCTGGCTCAGCCGTTTTTAGGATAACCGTGAGGACTAACATAACTGTCATTCACGTTTGGAGGTCGGACGGAGTAATACGCATATGGCTGTATATTTTCAAATGATGCTGAAGAATGCAGTTCCCAGCAGTACATATTGACGGCCAGTTCTGATATGAAGGAGCACAGTCTTCTGACAAATTCACTTCGAGGGGGGAAAGCTATTTTTCACTTGACTCCCGTCTACATCCCGGTAAATATCTTCAGACCATTCCGTAGCTTTCTGCTCAGGACAGGTAACGCAGAAGTAGAAGCTGTTCAAGGCGGTTTTAGATGTCTGTTATAGAGGGAGAAAGTACAGACTATACCAAAAGCAAGAACACGACTTTTGGTGGCGGAGACGGACAGTGGGCGGGGGGGGGGAAGGAAGTAGAAAGAGCAGGAGTTTGGCAAAAGTATTCTGTCCAAAGAATCTGGGGTTAGCAGTACGAAGAACTTGTGTGAAAAGAACAGCGTATATCAGAGGCATTAAATGCATGCAGCTGGCAAAAATCAGAGGAGGACTTGATTGGGCTCCTGCTAGTGTTTGTCGTTAGCCCGCAAGGCACAAGCATGCACGGCACTGCTTTGGGCTGTTGCCTGAAACCGAGAAATAAGAATCACTGACTAACGGAGGCAGCATGTCCAGTGAAACTTGCAATCCCGGTGTGGTTATTAACGAAGTGGGCATCAAGCATGAAGAATTTACTCAGAAGAGAAAGCAGCCGATCTGCATGGGTTGACGCTCAAAGGAAAAGCATGCCGACTGGAACTGAGAATAATAATAATAATTTTTTATTTAAGACCCGTCGGGGTCCCATCAAAGCCTGCCCGAACATGTGCAATATGCAGCTGCCCTCCTGCATCAACGGGCGGTGGGACGTGGGCGCAAACGTCTAGTTGACTTCGTGGCGTGCAGGTCCTAAGGATGGGCATGGGAAATGCAGACGGAGGCCAGGATTTGACTGCAGTGCTTGATATAAAATTAGAAGCCCATGCGCAATAACCATCCAGTAGACGGCCTAAATCTGCAAAGAGGACAGTCGATTCCCCTTAAACGCGTAACTTCGTCGGCCGGTGCACACGAGACAGGAGAGCAAACCGCACCAGCTGTGGATTTTGGCGGGCGTTGCCGAATCTCAAGAACGTCTCTGAAGCCGTCAGCCGCTCGGTCACCTTTTTGGGCTTGGATTGCAAACTCGTCAGATATATCCATCAGACGCCAAAAATGAAGCCGAGAGACCGACTGCCACGGCAATAAACGTCTGAAGTCGTTTACATAATATGGTGCAGTTCATCCGACGGTACCGGCCACCAAGTTCGACAAGGCCGACATTCTCACGAGAAGTGACAACCGCATGAGCCTTCAGCTGGTTAAGCCATGGTTCACCAGCCCTACTAACAAGCGCAGTCACCCTATATTCCGTGCTGAGCATTTATTTTGAGAGCGCGCGGGTGAACACTGTCTCTAGTGCCAAAGTCGATGAGCCAACTTTCTGAGTAATTACTGAGCCGGTTGCCGAAATCGGTGATGAAATTGCGGCCCAGACCATCAAATAATTATCGTACCAAACACAACTATTTGCGATGTATGCGGAAGCCGCAAATGTTGATGGGCATTCGGTGACATGGAAAATGGGTCCTATAAATACGGCGACGTTCGTCCTTTGATTACCCTTATCCGAGGAAGAGTTCGAGCAGGAATCGGAAAGATCAGGTTGGCAAAATTCTTGTCCCACCGATCGCGGCGGGATAAAAACGTAGGTAAATATAGGCAGTTCACGATGGTAACCCTTATCCATGCTTCCTCCTCAAATGCTTTCCGGAATTTGCATTTTCGTTCCTATCGAGAAAATGTGATAACTTTTACAACGGCCTGGTAGATATGGAGTGACAACAACCCAGGACCCCCAGAAATTATTCTCAGTACCGAATGCTCCTATACGGGCTACAATGATGCAAATCAAATACTTCGGATAAATGAAGACAGTTCTGAAAATTCCCTTCCAAAACAGTTTGGTGCTCTCTGTTGGAGGCGTTTCAGCGGGAACATCTTACTAACAGGCTTTCCACAGTTTCTGCGCAAGAGGTCTCCATGATAGAAGCTCACTTAACCGACCAAATAAGGGCTGGCTGCCAATAATGTTGGATGGCCTAAGATCTGCCGACGCTTATACCCACCTGGCAAGCAGCCTATAAGATAATATAGGACAAAGTGCCAAAAGTTGTCACGGCGACGGAGATGGAGGCCAAAATTCGTGAGGTCGCAAAATAATATGAGACGGAAGATCAAGCGGATGAAAAAGAAAGACACTGAGAACATAGCAAGACAAAAAGACGGAATATTAACAGTAAGAGAGGAACGTGCTGTGGGAAGTGGACGATCTGCACACTCCTGCCGCATGGCCATTCGATGTGGGCTAGGGACCTCGAGTGGAACCAGAACGGGAGGTCTGTCCCCGTCCGTATAAACGTCAGAATTCAGCACAAGGACGTTCGACAAATCGTCCATCAGAGAAGGGGACAGTGGACGTAAAAAGTGGTTCCTTGAGCGGGCGAAGAAGTGGTGATTATGTGACATTTGCTGGTCAACCGAGGTGATCGTCTCCGAAAGGCCAGCGTTCTTCATATTTTCAGAGTTCGGGTCGTATTTCCGTGAGCGAAGACTTTGTAGGAAGACTACTAGAAGACGGCGGTTATCCTTTAGCGAAAGGAAAAAACGAAAGGAGTGAAGGTAAAAGGTTCGAAAAGGAGCATTTATAGTGGAAAATGCATCCAATATACTGGGACATTCAACTTACATCGTCTATGACAGCAACAAGAAGGAACATGAAAACGGCTGTAACTGCGATTCCTACAGGCAGGATGAGGATCATAATGACTGGACTGATGATTTGGACGTAGATTAGCATATAGGGCATTCCAAGTGTGAGCATCAATTGTACCAGTACAAGCAAGTTCCTGAAAAAGAGCAAAAGTCAAATGCAAAGACATCTTACAGAAAGGAGGGGGCGCAAGAAGTACGGGGTTAAGAAAAAAAGTAGCTAAAAAGATCTTCCTAGCAGTAGATGAGTTGCTGGGGAACTTACGTTGACTTGGTGAATCTGGTATGACGAGTGGCAAGGTAGCTGCGCAAGATAACGGCACCAACGGTAACGAGAACGATGAAGTTAAAAAATACAACAGCTGTAATGGGCGCAAGAAGAGGCCATCGGGAACCCAAGACGTCTGGGCCAATGCAACTGCGGGCAGAGAGAAAGGGAGTGTCAGAGAACGACGAGAAAAACCACAAGAATTTTCAAACAAGCAACGTCTGTGCACAAAAGTAGCCGACCACCGATGCTAGCAAAAGTCAGAGGGTGATTTGTGTGATAGTGTTCCTTCAAAACAAGCCTAAACAAAAGGACATTCGAATCGACAGACTTAGTGGATGTCTGATTTTCTCAAAAACAGTTTTTCGCTCGCTGTCATTAAAATCTGGTGTATCCAGCGCAGCGCTCACAATACTAGAGCAACGGCGGCAGAAAAGAGTAGTCATGTCGGAGGCACCAAAGATAGGCATGGTGCTTCTTGAAAAGATGAAAGCTAAAAGTCAGGAAAATTAAGAGACTGAGAGCTGGAGAGCAATTTATTCATATATATCTGACAATATTGTCTAACGATGGAAAAGTCGCGAAATCAAAAGGAGAGCTTCACTGGTAAGGACAATCAGACCAGCAGAAATTGAGTCAAACAACTATTTGATATGGCAGAAGTTGGCTGTTTTAGCAAGATACTGCTGCGAGCGGCTTGAATGATAGGGCCTGCTTACTGCGATGGCAAACTGTTGTTCATAGTAGGACACTTAGTATAAAATAATTAATTCGGACAAGAAAGTACTGGCCAGCGTGTAGTCACTGATTATGGTGACAAGCTAACAGCTCCAAGGACGTTACTCAGTGTTGGTGCTTCATCGGACTTGCGTCTCTACGGTACAGAACAAAAATTATGCAAACAAAATGACCGCAAATTTCGTCAGCACAACACTCACAGTCCGAGGCCTGAAGTGAACTGACGAGCGAATCCGAACCAGAAACCCACTATCAGAGCTGGGAAAAGGTAGGCGAGGATGGAGGCGGGGATGTAGAAGGCACGAAGCGAGATAAGGTCACTGAATCTTGAGTAGGGTGCCACTCTACAAATTAGAAGCCCGCGTGAATAAGAAGAGGCCATGCGGCCAGGTACGCATCTAAACGGGGAACTGAGTGTGAAGAAAATCCAGTTCAATAAATGGAAAGCACTGTGGTAAATAGCCGGTTCGAGTTAGTTGGCAGGATCGGGAACGACAGAATTATTCTCCTTGAATTTTTGTAAGTAGTTGCTAAGCATGGTTCAAGTCACCTGTCAAAAGCGCGGCGTGCGAGCGCATGGTGGATTGACCAGCGCTAATAATAAAGGTAACATTTCGAACGTTGTTACGGACGCCGCCCATCGTACAACCCTCAGCAGGGTGGACGCGGAGACGGTCAATGCGCGTGAATTAGAAGTACACTACATCTGCCGCACCGTCTCCAACCTCATCAATCTGGGCAAGGTGTCAGGATAAAGTTAAGAAGCCCGGAGGCAGGATCAGACGCAATGGGTGACAAAGCCAAATAGCCCATCAACGATTGTCACAAACGCCTGGTTCGCGAGTGATAAACCCAGTTTTCACGCAAAAAAAGGGGGGGGAGGCTCGGATCCCAACTGAATGGGAGTGCCATAGAGGCCACATTCAGGAGATATCGCAGCCTGACTCTTCGTCCCGACAGGAGGACTGAGTTAGTTGGCTGCCTTCTAAGCCACGGCTTCTAGCACACCGTGATATTGCAAAGGCGAATAATCCCGTTTATAGCAAGAAATATGGGCAAGGCTCGGAAACGCGATCACGCTGGAAAATGTGGAAATCCAGACGCCTCCAATACGGGAACCGTAGTAGTGGGGTTTTATGGGTGGGGCTACGGAAAAACACCGAAGAATGTGCTAAAAATAAAAGAAGAACGGGTGTATTAAAGGTAAATGGGCTAGTTTGATTAAATGGACTCCAAAATCTTGGCGTAAGCAGCGCGCAATACTAACATTCGTCACAAGTAACCAATAAAAACCAAGTCCAGTAGGAGTAATGGTGATGGGCCTATCATTGCAATCGAAACTGAACCGCCCAAGTAAGTGACAAATCAGACGGCAATTGCTGGAAGTGGGTACAAAATTGGCAGTAAACCTTATCTTCAAAACCGAGACAGAAGACCAGTTGAAAACCGCGTAAACCGTGAGCTGGACCGCAAGCCTAGCTTAAAAAGTAAGCCTAACTTCTAATGAACAAAACGGGATCGAGGAAGCTGTCTTTGATGGTGACCGTAAGCAATCAAGTTAACCCCAAATCGAACATCAACAACGAACCCTATCCCTAGCACCAATCCCCTAACTCCCGACCCTAATCCCAAACCTAGGCGTGCTAACTTTGGCACACCTACTGAAATTAATGCTAGTAGCAAAGTAATAAGCTTTTCGCCAAAGGAGACCGCGTTTCCGAGCCTCACCGAAGTGGCGTGGGGACAATCCCCAGTCCTCACTATTTCTTCCCTCTCATAGGCACTAGTCTATTATCCTCGCCAGAAAGCCATCTTATGTGGGGATCGGCCGTAAAGGGTTGAGTTAAACAGCCCGTCCGCGAGCGCATAGCACATTAGGTTTTCACACAAAGGGGGGGGGGGTACTCAGATCGAATCTAACATCCGTGAGTGTCCTAGACGCCAAATTAAAGTGCAATTGAGCCTGACTCAGTCCACCAGTTGGCCACTCACGGTGAAAAGAGTTGGCTTTTGAGAGGCAGTCATCCTTATTACTAGTGGACTGTTCAAGAAGGGGCGGTCTGAATAGGAAAAAAAAACTAATTTCACTGTTACTCTGATCGTCCATACATTGTAGGTGACCAAAATTTCAACTGTTCTAAAGACGCAGTGATGACCTGTGCACGAACAAAATTTTAGCGAAAGACCTCGCGCGACACCTATCGCACACAACGCGTTAACGTGGCAAGACAAAGTCAAGACGACTCGAGATGGGCGTTTGCGCGGTGGCCACCTTAATAACGTCCTTCGCAGGTGAAACACGTGTTGGCCCCTAGGCCTACGTGAAGCAGTGACCAAGAAGGGAGTCTTGGCGAATTGTCACAAAAACCACACTTGGGGGCCCTTGTAGTCTGACCTCTTACTTACAGAAAAACAGAAATATAACACAAGATGGCGACCCGCAAAAGCGTGATTACTGGCACTCTGTGACACCGCACATGTGCACCCCAGGTAGGTGAAGCAGACTCTCTTCCATCATATCTCAGTGGCAGGTTCAAGCCAATCCGAATGGAAAATAAAATGGACGATGTAGTTGATTTGACAAAGCCTCTGCCGAATGTATGCTTTGGTGTCTAACAGTCAACCATGGTTCTGGCAAGTTTCATTAATAAATACAGAGAATCACTTTTCATGGGAATTACATCGTTGCCCATACTACGGCAAGTGGCTTCGCAAAAAGCGACCTCTTCGAGACCGACATGAGACGACTTTGCGAATTACGTATAATTAGTGGAGTTTGAATGCTGAAGGGGTGCACTTTTTGGCCCCTGACATGCGCTCATATGCGAGGCCATCTCCAGACCAGTAGCCCTACCAAAACTTAATGAAGTCACTCGGTATGAACTGGTTGCTTCGTTGCTCCTGTCACATCTGACGACGGGCTGTGGTGCAAGGTAGAAAAGCCGAATTCTGCAGGCCGGAAGTGTTTATAGCAATTCCGAAGTATACTTCATAACGACGGTGAAATAATGGGCGTAAATACATGATAACTCGACAGGAGGTTTATTGTATATACGTTAAGATCAAGTAGTAGAAGCATAGCAGCTTCTAGACCACGTCCCTTGCAAGAGACGAGAATCGGCGCAATATGAGCAGAGATAAATTGCCGGCCTCCTCTCAATTCCCGCAAATAAAGACTTCGCTCGGCCGAAGTAAATTCTGTCAAGTTGCCCAAAGACCACAATAAAGAGTTCGTGAAGTTCGATCTTCAGCATCGAGGAACGAGTTGTTTGGCAGGCTGGCTAACAGCCTTCCAAGCTACGGCGAAGGACGTTGTGGTAGGTCAAAAGGGTCTCAGATTTGTCATAATGCGCAAAGGTCGCGTAGCATCAGCCTCACACCCAGCCTCCCCAACCTTCTTACACCGGTGGCAAGTTTACGCCAGAAAAACGGATAAGAGAAAAGAGAGCGGCAGACAGGGTATAATGCAGCCGACTCTTGCGCGCTGCATACTTGCCTGGCCTCCTCGAGGTCTGGCGCAACAGCACAACTCCCTCTGGGGACGTGCATGGGGGAAGATGAACATAAACACTGGGAGGGTGAACGTACACCATGAGCAGAGCGGTGAGGCCGCAGATGAATTTCCAGGCAAAGGCGCATAGGGGGAAGAAATTGACGAAAATAGCCACAGAGGTACAGAGAAAGGTGTAGTTTCCGGACACGTGTGGCACAAAGAGAGCAACGACAGTGCTCAGCAGAAGACAAAGGGCGATGTGGAATTGGTCGAGGCGGAAGACCCCTCTAAAATGGTAAATAAAGGACGATTGAATGGCGACAGTCCGTTTCACAAAGTCAGGAAAGAGACCCCTAAATCTGACCAAGAAATCGTTAAGGGACAGTGGCGGCACTATTAGGAATTGCAATGTGAAAGATTGGTGTACTGTAGCAGAACTATGGATGTACTGAACATCCATTGAACGACCGAGTTTGCGACGTGGGAGTTCAATTAACGGGTAGTCTCCTCACCCCTTCCCCTATTGAACACACTTGAACAATGGTTGTTAAGCAGTTCAGTCATCTATGTAGAAACATGGGTTTCTGTTTCCCCACTATTTGCTCCACTGCGAAAACTTATCTTGTACCCACAAGGGGGGTCTTATGGTTCCGTCATACTTGTATTCAAAGATTAGAACAGACGTCACCTAATCGCATAGTACATCGCCAGCGACTCCAGCATGAGAGGGGGATATCAGCCGCTGTTCGATTACTGCTGACGCTATTGCACCAGCTCAACGCGTACTTTTAGTATAAAAAGGACAGTTCTATTCCCACAGTGTTGTTCCGTCAATTTTATTATAGAGCATCGGAATCAGAGGGTCGGCGAGAGCAACTGTACGTCATGAAGTGCGCATTATGGGTCTTGATTGTGCTAATCGATCTTCAATGTTGGCAAGTTTCCTAGACTATAAGCGGCAAACTACATCCCGGATAGATTCGATGATTTAAAAAAAGTTGAGAATGTAAACCCTACTCTTACTCACATTGGCTCGCGCCAACGATGGTTTAGCCGATTACAGAGTCCATGACATGGCGAACTTATGCGACCTATATCCTACTAGAGTTGGCTATACGCACTGTGATCGTTGTCAAGCAATCTTTCTATCCCCGAACAGCGATGAACATCAAGCCCAGCACCCTCTCCAAATTTGAGGTAGCTGCACCCATATAATTTTCAGTCGGCTTCCACGGCAGCATCAACTCAAAGATTCAGAGAGCTGACATTGCGGATGGGCTCCAACTCCGGTCGGCAGACTGCGTACCCGAATCCTCAGAGCAGATACCCTATTTCAGTTGTTAGCAGTAGGTTGGGGTTAACCTGTGAAACGTGATCGATGAGCCGATGCCTAGGTTATCTCCGAGAGTATCGAATGTGAAACACCTCGATCCTATTCATTTCAACAGCTGTAAATCGGGACGGCTTTGGCTGTGGTATTGTAAATGCTTAAGTCCTGCGTATGGGTATGCACCCAATGTAACAGAAGGGTATGCGAAGCGCCAACTGTGATGTCCCTAAATATGATCCCTTACCTGCTTACTAAAGGAAGTATGGAGTCATGTCTCGTTTAAGAAGTAATGAGATTAATGCTATCACAGTTATTAATGCTGACTTTGCCATCGCATCGAAGTTTGTGGCATCGCGTGGTTGGGACGGAGTGGCTTTCCTGAACACCTGGAGGGGCAAGTACAGTCCCCTGTCATAAACTGCCCATGACAGTTTTATGCATTGAAAGTGAACACTTTGAAGATCAGGCTGGTTGCCCAATTTGTGCTCGGAGAAGGTTTAGTCCAGTGAACAGCGTCTAATGTTTCAGGTCAAATCTGGAAAGTGGTTTGCTTTGCCATGCCAATGGATAGGCGAGAATCCATTATTGTTTAAATAAACGTCCCATCTGCTGCAACCATCTAATTTTCAGTCGACTTCAACAGCAGCATCAACTCAAAGATTCAGAGAGCTGACAGTGCGGATGAGCTCTAACTCTCGTCGGCAGACTGCGTAACGGAATTCTCCGAGAAGATGCCTTATTTCCGTTGTTAGCAGTAAGTTGGGGTTAACCTGTGGGACGTGATCGATAAGCCGATGCCTAGGTTATCTCCGAGAGTATCGAATGTGAAACACCTCGATCCTCTACATTTCAACAGCTGTGGTATTGTAAATGCTTAAGTCCCGCGTTTGGATATGCACCTGATGTAACATAGAAGAGTATGCGAAGCGCCAACTGTGATGCTCCTAAATAAGATCCCTTAACTGCTTACTAAAGGAAGTATGGAGTCATGTCTCGTTTAAGAAGTAATGAGATTAATTTTATGACAGTTATTAATGTTGACTCTTCCATCGCATCGACGTTTGTGACGTCGCGTGTTTGGGACGGAGTGGCTTTCCTGAACACCTGGAGGGGCAAGTTCAGTCCCCTTGTCACAAGCTCCCCATGTCAGTTTTATGCACTGAAAGTGAACACTTTGAAGATCAGGCTGGTTGCACAACTTGTGCTCGGAGAAGGTTTGGTTTAGAGAACAGCGTCTGACGTTTCAGGTCAAATCTTCCGCCGGCCGCCCGAACACGATTCGGTTTGTGCCGAAATCGCCTTCGATCGGTGTGTGCTCAGGTGGAACGTTAAATTAGGGGACAGACAAGCGTCCAAGTAAGAGCCCATGGCCCATGTAACAGATCCCGTCTGTAGAATATGTGCGCTGAATACATGTGCATGTTTGTGTTTCTACTCCGAGATTATGGTCAGGGTTATGATTAGCTGAATGAAGGCAGAATAAGTCCAAGCTAGTTTTGTATCAATCTATCTGCATCTCTCCGCAGGCCCTCTTCTATCATAGCAGGTGGTTGCGTCTTCCTGATCTCCGCCACATATTGGAAGGCGGTTTGTTTTGCTAAGCCAATGGATAGGCGAGAATCCATTATTGTTTAAATAAACGTCCCATCTGCAGCGATGAAGAATGCCAGATGGGGAGGTACTGCTGAACTTTGCTTTCAGGAAATGGTTATGACCCATCTGATAGGACCCGCCTGTGAGCCATCTGATTCACTGACGACAGAATAGGACCGACCTGACTTACTTAATGTTGATTATTTTCTAGGCAAGATGAATGTAGTTTCATTCACAGAAATCGCCTGCTTTCTTAACATATGTGTAGATTGGGGTATGCATATAAATGTGTGTATTGCGTAGAAGAGAAACTTACACAAATCTCGTGAAAAATAGGAAGAAAGACAGTGCTACGATGGTGATGCCAGAGCAAACATAGTTCACTGCGCTGATGGCCAGTCCGTACTTTTTCAGATTCTGAAAAGATTAGTTAAAACTCGTGTAGACACTCAAAAAGCACCTCGAGGTTTTTATACGTTAACTTTTCAGCTAAAATTGCATCGTCATGCCCATAGTATAATGGTAAGTGACGAAAAAGAAGTGTCAAATTCCCTTAGTAACATACGGCATTACCATCATTCATAACAAATTGCGGAGGTAAAAGGAGAGGGGCTTTAGGAAAAAAATTAACGAGAAAAACAGCAGATACGGGGGGAACAGGAGGGTTAATCCTGGCGCAGGAGGCTGAAGAAACAACGGCAGTTAGGGGAAATAACGCCATCTGTCAAGTCGCGGCTCCCTCGAGTGGACCCGACCACGCCTCCAGGCTCGACGAGGCCGACATTCCCGCAAGAGTTGACATTCACCGGAATAGCGAGCTGCTCGTCGTGATTCCCCGGCCAGCAATCCATCAACGAGCGCAATGATTTCTCCTCATATTTGAAGCACAAACTCCATCCGGACAGTGAAATCGGTCATGCGGGCAGCACGTAGACCGTCAATACTTTCAGTGACGGTTTCGGTCAGCCAAATTGCTAAGTGATAATTAACATTGGCGATTAAGTTGCAAAAATCAACGCCTCGGATGTGGACGACCAACTCATCATAGCACTAAGCACGAACATGTAAGATAAGAAAGAGAAGTAACTTTGATAGATATGCAATGGTATAGGAACAGCACTACGTGAGCAGTTAAACTCTCGCGCATCGACTACTTTCATCTGGTACCGTCCTTGAAGAGGGGCTCAAGAAAGGGACGGAAACGTCAGATGAATAAAATTCTTGCCCCAGCGATCGTGCCTCACTCCCATCTGTTTCCTGAAACTCGCTTTCCTACTTGTGTCGACAAATGAGTGGCAGTACTATCTACAAGGATAGTTCACTTATTTTTGTTTGTTTACATGGCCGACTACTGTCGTTTACGATAGGCCTCTTTTCTATATTAAATGGCTTCCAAATCCAGTGGCGTCGTTGCAGTAGAACTAGAAGGGGATCGAAAAAATAGGTGACATTCGGGGGATTGGAGACCGTACGTTATTCCTGACACCGCCACCTCTACGTTGATTGGTCTTTCTCGATTATACCATTGGCTACTGCTGCGAGGAGGCGAAAGTGAATATGGCCTCACGAGGGTCCTCCGCAATAAAGCAAATGTAATGCGCTTAGGAGTCACATTAGTTCCCTGAATCATGGAGGGCTGTTAACTGGCGAGGTGATTAACTTCGCAGGACTGGAATCTAGGCTGCAGCGATTGAAGTGTGAAACGGATAGGTCCGAGTGTGAATCTGAAACGTCAAGTGAAGAAAATTATTGATTCTATGACCGAGCCTCCGCCGTATCGTGTGCAGAAATTGTTAAGAAAAATATGGTTGTTTTTGGAAGAAAGAATTTCTGGTGTCAACTTAACATTCTTAGCTAATAACTTGCTGCAAGTCCGCATTCCAACGATTCTATAGGCGCTTAGCCGGTTCGGTGATGTAGACTCGGTCCAGACTTGATGCTGTATTTGTACGGCTGCTATCATGTCTGATCAAGACGGCTTGGACGATGTCGCGAATCGTACCCCTTTACACCTGATGACTTACGACAGGGGATCTGCAGAACTCGACCCATTATATCCTCCAAGACCAAGAATGAATACCGAAGGCCCGAGAACCATCTCCGTTTCTGGACGAACTGTCGAGTCAAGTTTGGAGTTTATCTGCTCTTCGACGCCTCCACGTAGGCAACGGCACTGGATCAAGGATGGCAACACTGTGTTCATCGGACATGACGAAAAGGGTGTCTAAACCACCTCGATTCACTTCCTTAAATGAGCTGAAATATCATAGCGATACTGTCGCGTCGAGTCCGCACTTTTTCAGTGGAAACCAACTTGGTGTTCTTCATTCGGACAATACCTCAGAGGTGGCGGTGATCTGACATCTCCGGTTTTTGTTGGTCTTCCATATGCACAGTCCGGCATTCGCGATCGTATAGGAGGACTGGCGGCGCAGATTGCCAACACACACGAATCTCTGTGATAATGAACACGTCGTGTCGGGTGCAGAGTCACTTTCTAAGGCGTGCGAAAACCCCGCAAACAGAGTCGATTCGGCCTACGACGTGGTTCTTACTGTGTCCATTTGACAATAACTTCGTCCCGAGGTACTCATCTTAAAGGCAAAAGCAATTCATCTCGTGAGACGCCGCTTCGTGGTCAGTGATGCGGCTCAAAGCACTTGTCTGTCCAACGTTTGTTGATAAACCGACTAGTTTAGCGTCTTTACTTGTCCGCGACACCCGGACGCCCCACTTTATAGTCTGGGGCTAGCAGGGAGAGATCAGTCAGTTGGCACCGAGACGCAAATCAAACGCCATCAGAGCCGCATAGAGTTCTTCAAAGGATCTAGTCAATGGTGTAGTTGGACTGAGGTGGCGACGGAGAACAACCTTCCAGAACGGCAGACAAAATACCGGACGACTAGAAGAGATTTCTTAGGACCAAATGGGAAAGAAAATGGGGCCAGCGGGAAAATTCCCTTGGGCGGCCGGATGTGTATACGTCTTTATTGTAATTTAATCTAATAGTTTACCAGTAGCACTGAATGAGAATTAGCATCTCCTGAGGAATCAATGGTGATTTCCGTGTGAGTTGGGTGGTGGTGGTGACAAAACGGTCGGATCTTATTTCGTAGCCGTACCTGCAGTAGACAAGCCCCAACTTAACCGTCGACCCTATCTGCTAACCCCTACCCATAACCACTAACCACTAAACCCAGCCCCTATCTTTAGCCCCTAAAGCTAACCCATAACCCCTAACCCTAACACTTGATGCTGGACCCTAACAGGTACGGCCATGAAATAAGATCTTGCCGACAAAACTTTCAAAGCAGTGTCTTTAAAGTCTGGTAACACGTGCATAAACTGGGATGGGCGTGGATTCGGTAGTTGGCCTGCCATACAGTGGTCGATAACTGGCCAACTTAATATCTGATCCCCCACTCAACACAAAGAAGACTTCACTTGCTACAACCTCATATGCAGAGAGTGGGAGAGGAGTTTCATGAGTCAGTGTGAAGAACGAGTCATTTCAACCTGACCTTTCATTGAGAGCTAAAGGATCTCGTTAACACATTAGCTGGAGAAGTTCAGAGTCGTGACATTTGACCTGCAGTTATAGCTAGAAGACACGTCAATTATACTTTAGGGAGACAAATTCGCCTGTAATCGGCCCACTACCTCTTACCCCCCCGCTGCCCTGGCGGTAATGCCGGATCAAGCCGACTAAAGATAGGATCGGCCACCGTGGCTGGCATGACAAAACATCTACGCCTCATCCTTTTGGTCCCTCCTTAAGTCTCGAACACTGCAGCATTGAATGTTGTGTACAAATTACCGAGTGGTTAAACGTACATCGGGTGACAATGACAAAAGAGTAGACCCCTTCAGAAAGTACATGATAACTCAGCTAAACTGAAGACAGCAACTAGCACAGATTCCACATGTTGATCAGCATGGCTACAAGGTTGTCGTTTAAGGCCAGTTGCCTCATTTACATGCAGTAGGCGACGAAAACCACGGCAGGTGGCAAACATACTTGGCAATTTTCCGTCCACGTAGGTCTGCTAGGGTCAGTCGAAAATTTTTACATGGTTTTCAGAAAATTAGGCGTACTTTGGGGCTGAGCGTAAAACAAACTAATAAATCACATTAGTACATCCTATGCGCAAAAAAACATACGAGGAATGCCCATGAAATGCGGCCAAATAATTGCGTCATGCCGCCAGGCAAATACGTGTGCACACTTGTCTGGACGGATTCTGAAGTAATATGGAATTTAGACAGGGAAGGCGAGTCCCGGTTGTTGTTTAAAGAAACCATGACACTAGTTGGGTGATTCATAAGCTGGCTCTGAATAACGTGACGGTACCGCTAAATAATCCACAAGAAGGAAACCGATTAACATGTGATTAAACACGACAAATTTATTTGTCGCCACTGTATAATGCTTTCATCCACCCCTTAGTTCGGGGGACGGATTTCGAAATTTCGAGATTTTCTTGTAGGGATTCGCATGTCCCATTAGCTTCAGCAGGTGCTGTGTGTTGACAATAGGTTGGGTTTCGAGAAGGGCAAGTGTAAGGCACTTTAGTAGCTGCCGCAGGCATCCTTCCCTAAAATGACGGGGCCCGGTCGTAAAAATCATGCGTCACGATAGTACTGAGGCGCCTGTATGAGATGATGCGAACAGTAGAACATATATGACGGAATGAGACAGCTGCAGTGATTTCAGAGACTTCATGGAAGCGTCATAGGCAGCAATTAGGAAGCATCTAATTATCTGGGGAAAATTCCTTTCCAAAGACTGTGATAGTCGACTGCACCTTAAAAGTGGCCTTCAGGCTCGGATATCGCAAACTGAGCGAAAGTTACGGCCCTTCGAGCAAAGGAAGCAAACCAAAGAAAAAAGTAACACAACAAAACCTCAAAGCTAGCGTCGGTGAAGTAGCAGAGCTGCCATAATAAGAGACGTACCTTTAGGTCACCGCTGTTCATGATAAAGACTAGGCCTACAGCGAAAGTTCCGGCGTGAGGTGGATGACACTCGCACACGTACTCGCGTCCTCCATACCAGCGGGTCTCACAAAAGTCGCCGGCGGAGGAGCCACTGAAAGAAAATAGCATGAGTATAAAGTTTGACTTTGGAGTCAATTGTCACCTGGTAAATCTGGTTGAAAAGCCGCGGGACTTCAGCAGGAAATCACCTGCTATTTAAAATAGGGGCGAACCGAGGCAGGTGTACTTTTGCCGGAGCCGACGTCCAGGCCCTAACAGCGCAGTCTCCCCTGACCTTACTCGAGCCGTATGCAATGAATAAATAAATGGCACCAAAATTACCACGACTGGGGATACGCGCATCAACAAATGCTACTGACCTGGTGCATATAGAAGTCGCTCAAGAGGCCAGCTAGGATGTGGGACGGTGTGCACCCCGATAGCCTGGGCATCCGCCGAGGAAGAAAAAGAGGGTGGGGCGCAACAAGCGGTCCTCGAAGGAGCGCGCCAACCATGACCTTAGGACGTCAAAGGCTACTGTAATTACTGCCACTACGGTTGCTGATTCAAAGGTCGGTCGAAATAAATCCACGAAACTAACAACCAATTAACGTTTTGGCCATGCTAACGCAGTGGTGGTGTCTTAATGGGGTATGTGGGCTGCCCCTGGTGCCTTTAGCCGGCTGTAATATGCCATCAAAAAGCGATGACTGATTTATCTTGTGGCAGCGAAGGGCTCCCAAACTGTGAGCGCAGAAGAACGCAGTAAGCTCTAAGATGTGTGTTCAATAGAAAATGTGACACCACGCACAACAGACTCTGGAGATGAACAAAAATCCCAAATAATAAATAAGGAACACATAGCTCGAAACACTGAGTAACTCGCACACACCGAAGAAATCCCATAAAAACTATTTTCCGGAGCCCGATTTCAAAATGTTAAATAATGACATCTATCTGGAAGACCAGGTAACTAAGAAAAACTCAAGGTGTGGTTGCGAAATGTTAAATGTAGAAAATTATGTGCTGACACGAGCTAAAAACCTATATAAGGCACCAAACCTACTTTGTGTTGAGCACGTCCCAGGTTCGGCAAGCGACGTCCTCCTGACGCTCCTAAAATATACGCGGATATGGTGGAAGTAATTAAGTCTAAAACGACGCAGTTTTTCGCAGAGGGGTAAGGGCAAAAATGGAAGAACACAGTGCCGTTAGGTGTACTACGTTTTGCAAAGGTTAGGAAATGGAAACAAGGCAAAATTGACGGCTACCACCCATCACGCTAATAAAACGACGCAGCTTTCCGCAGAGGGTTAAGGACAAAAAATGGAGGAACACAGTGTCGCTAGGTGTACTACGTTTTGCAAAGGTTAGGAAATGGAAGCAAGGCAAAATAGACGGCTACCACCCATCACACTAATAATGGGCAAAAAAGACTACGAAGAGACGAAGATGTGGGGACAGACAGGAACATGAACTGGGACACCTTCGCATCCACCGCAGCCATGTCACGGGGGCGGGGGACAATTTCATTGTTGACTTTCCGTAATTCACCTGTTCGCATTGTGAACGTTCGATCCGGATCGGATCGTGTCGAGCAAATTTCTACGTGTTCACACAACCTTCCTCTATCTCTGACAACTCTCGTCAATACATCTCACCACATCCTAACCCGAAAATCAGCACGACCTCGGTCCAAAGAGTTCGTCCTGGTAAAAAACATACCTCGCCGGCTCATATATCCCTGAGGGAAACGCAACGTACAATTTGGCAGACGCTAAGGCTGTGCATGTTGATAATAGCCTACTACTTACGCTTTATTTGACAGTGGCCCTAGGGTAGAAGTGAGCCGTCAACTCCCCGAATTCGCATCGGACGCCCTGCCCCAGTGCCACTGGTGTGGGCCCACCGACCGAAATGGTAGTTGATATTTTCTGTGCGTCACGTAAGACGAGAGACCCTTCCGTCTGTCGGCTATTTCTTGTCATTAGGTAATTCAAACCTTCCAGGAGTTTCGGGTACAAAGACAGGGACATTGGAATGGGCATTTCTGGCTAGTTTGCCGACATCAGTCTGTGATGCCTCAATAGCAGGCTGCACGACTGAGGTCCGAGCCAGTGTCGGTGGGTCGTCGAGCGACACCCTCGCCGCTGCCCTGAGGGCTCACGTCAAGTCGGCTGCGCTGGAGAATATTCGGAAGCGGCGGACGGTTCGGGACTGTCCTACCATTAGCTGAAGGCTGTAAATAAGCCATAAACGATCGTATCAGTGTGTCTGTGCTTGTCGGTAAATTTATCCCCTATCGATTTCTAGTCGCCATGATATCGCCTGTGTGAGTCGTAGAGCCTCAGCCCCAAGGCAAACAGGAAGTGCTCATTTCCGTCCTGTAATGAGGATGGTTCGGTGCATCACCCACTTTTGTCTGACTAAAGACTCCTGATCTCACTTGGCACGGCGCGAACCCGTGAGTGCACCGTCGAGGGCGTTGTTGGGTGAGCAACTGCGTGGAGCTTAGAATCCTGGGTGTGTGTAACCCGAAATTGGGGTATCGATGGCTGATGACGGCAAACAGGTCAGAAGTGGCAACTTTATTGTCCCTATTCTTGTTGGAAGAAAAAAATTCTCCATTATTGATTGCTGGTGGACGTCCCTCAGCCCCAAAGGAAGAAGGAAAGGCTCAGTTTGATCGTGCATCCAGTACCAATCAGTGCACCTAAGTCTTATGTAGAAAGGGTTACGCTCAACAACGAGTTTTTATAATCCAGAAGTACTGTTCCTTAAAAGCCTGCGTGTAGCCATAAGTGTACAACTGTTATTTATCTAATGTAAAATATGGGAAAGATCTAGGCTTATTTCGAAAATTAACCGAAGCATTAGATCTGCAAGGCTGTAGAACCGAGCTCCATTTGAGCACAACCAGAGAGGACCCTTTGAAAGCATACGAATGCAAGGCTTTTCGGGACAAGTGGTAGGGTGGTATTCATGGCATAGAAAATGCGAATGGCATTAGTTCACGGGAAAACAAACAAATAAGTGACTCAGTCAAAAGAAAAAGAGGCGTTCACCGGGGAGGTTTACTAGAGGTCTGACGTCTCGATTATTAATTTTGCCTACTCATCTTCAGATCTCATTATACGGCCCACGTTGATGCGTACCCCGCCAATGCCGCCTGCATGGCTGCATCCGATCAGCAAATGGGAGACATTTTCAACTTCGACGTCGCTGAGATCGTGAGCCGAGGCGATGATACAGCAATGCAGGTTCAAGAGGCCTGGATATCCCCTGATTGCTCTACCAAGCGAGTGATTAATGGAAGCAATTTGTGGACTGTCTCCTCCGGCTATCTAGCAATCGGTCGAATATTTTCATGCAAGCCGCAATGACTTCTACGACGCTTCTTGAGTTTAAGTTTTTTAAAATTATGTTTGGGTGATACTTCCAGTCACTGAGTGATCCGGAGGATGCCATTAAGAAAGTCGGTCACGTAAGAAATATCAAAGGTAAGTTTATTCCTAGCCAAGCGATCAAGTTCTTTAAAGTGGACCACATACATGAAATTTTGCTGACTGAAAGCGCCTAAAGAGCAAGAATTTTCAAGGAGAATGGCTTTGTGGACTTTTGCAGGTTAAGTCCTCGTTCTCAAAAAAGTTGGTTTAGTAAATACCCTCTCATACGTAAGCTGTAGTGCTAAAACAAGCACTGGGGTTGCATGCAAATTTTAGGCGTCCGATGCGAAAACGGCATATATAATAGCTCGAAGGGCTGATTTTCAGGGTAAGTCAAAATATAGTTAACCGCTTTGAAAATTTCAGGCAGGGCGAGGGCGACAGAGGACGCGGTGAAATGCGGGTCGCATGCAACCCATACAGGCGGCATAGGCAGGTTATGTATCAAACAAAGTGCGCCATATAATAAAAGCTGTGTGAACCACTTTCTACTCTCCGAAACTGAGCAGGCGAAATAACTCGAAACTTCAGACCTCCAATAAGCCTCTCCCGATGAACGCCTCTTCTTCTTTTGACATGCCACCCGGGAATCGGACTTTTACTACTACTGAAATGACTCAGTTTCAAATCGTGACATTCGACTACAAAATAAGTCAAAAATCATGGGAAAACGTCGGCGAGAGAAGTGTAGAGAGGAGGAATGCACGCGAAAGCGTGAATGAGGTATGAATGGCTACAGAAACACGCCGCATCTGGCAAATTTTAGAGATAAATCAGCCCAGGCAGACCAGTCGCGCACGTCCAACTTCACTTTTCAAGGATAGTTAGGATTTCCATGTTTTTCACTAACGTCATTGCTTGATCGCCTCGCCCACCCCACCTCATTTGACGCGGAGGCTTAAGTAGACACCGGTGAGGCATCTCGCACACAAGGTCAGGTCAGACAACCAGACAGACATTGAGAGTGTCCTGCGGAAAGTGAGCAGCACTATCACCCCAGTTCGATTGCATAGGATTTTTCAGACCTCGGAAACCGCAAATCACCAAGTCAAGTGATCTGTCCTTTCCTGCCGGTTATAAAGAATAATTGGGCTTGCTGATATCCGGCATACCTTCCATCGATCGGCAGTACGCAACAGTTGATGATTTTTTGATAAAAAGCTGTGCCACTTCAAATAAAGAGTTGTTACTAACTGTCGGAAGTGTCGTTCGAACTAAATTAAAAGAGGCGGCTTCCTAATAAACAACGTAACTAACACCACCCAGGTAGTGGCTGTTCACAGTATAGTAAAGAATCAAATTCATGAATCGTTTGGAGCAAGAATGTAGTCTAATAACTCATCTGACTATTAAAGAGACTGTATTCCTGCCCTAAACAAAACAATGAGGACACTACACTTTGTCACTGCTAAGATGTCACATGCAGTTTGGCTGACGATTGCCACTGGAACAGATAGCAACCAGGGTTCTGTAAGTGGTTTACAGGAATTATGAAGGACTCACAGAACGTGAGGATTTCTAAACGCGACTTATTTTGCAAGGGTTTTCGGCGTGCAGATGCGGTCAAACACTGACAGCAGTAGAAAAAAGCCGTACCGAATGTATGAATCTGTTATGACAGCTAAATTCGGTGTGCAGACATACAGAGGGAGACTCGGTTAATGGGTTAGCAGCGAACAGGATGGTAAATGAGAAGATGCGGGCGCTCCAGGGGAATAAAAAAGGTAGTGAAGGCGATTCTCAGAGAAAAGGATAACTTGAGGACTTTAGCGCAGAACGGTGAGGCAGCGAACGTACAAGGTGTCTGTCCTCTACTCGCAGGATACCAAAGGCAACGAGAGGTGTGGTCAGCGGCATAGCAGCCTGCTTGCGACGGGAGGTCTGCTTATGGTATAGATAAGCACTGTTAAAACGACAACTTTCTGCAGAATTACATGTCAAATAAAGATGCCTTATAGGGAGGCTTGGATGTCTTGGGTGGTCTTTAATCAGGCAAAGCAGTCTTTCATTGATTAATGCAAAGGGTGGGGCAGACGATGCGGATGTAGCAACGTAGGAGCTGTTTGGTTTTTATCTCTTCTTTTGATATGCGTTGCGAATGCAGAAAAGGGAAGAAGAAGATGGAAATAGCATGAACTTAGGTTCCAAAAAACTCTGGCAGCTTGTAAAAGAGGACCTACGCCAGACTTTATGTCGTCTACTATACCCGCCACCAATCAATGAATGGTTATGTTTGCGTTTTCATAAGCCGGAAGTAATACGCAAATTTACGGAAAAATAGCTATTTCACACCCGCCTGTGCTCTAAGATGAATTTTAATTGATTTCTCTTATCACCGTAATGTTTTGCTTCTACACTGTTCCCATATAAATAAGCTGGCCTTACGAGAATTTATCGAAAGCAAACGTATGCTCGCCAACTGAATATCGTCATTCAACTGAATTAGAAAAACCAAAGGCTAGTGCTTTTATCAGTTGGACCTGAACGATCGACGAAGTAATTACAGACAGCCCTTAACTTAAAAGACTTGGATCGGGAGGCTGAGCAAAGGAACCTTGAGAAGTATCAGAACACAAAAACGGGCGGCGCGTCAAAAACTCCTGCCGCACACATTTTCAGTTTCTTTGAAGTAGTATTGTTGGCCAAAAATGGTTAAACGAGAAACACTCGCCTCCCCAACTCTCACTCAGAGAGCAACGCACAGATCTCCTGACTAAGGCAAAGTGCTCAACCGATCTGCTGCCCCCACAGCGATAAACAGTCAGTGGAGAAAAAAGCTAATCGAAAATGACTTATTCCACCGACAAAGGAACGTCCTGCACCTATTTGCGAGAACCCAAGTCTACTTCAGTTCAAATGGTCTACCTAGGAAAAACGATCCGATGAAGCGTCGACCAAGACCAGTGATATCTATGTCTGTTTCTTGTGGCTGTACTACCGTCTGAAAGGGTCTGAGGACAGGATGAAATGCGTAACAGCGGTCATGTTAAAATGGGCGGTTTTTGACCATCGGTGCGTGATAACTGCCCTGCCCTTCGAGTAAAGAAAACTGACAATCCGCGCTTGCTGCGACATTGTGAAGTTTACATCCGAGGTCATCCATTAAAGACAACGCAGGTGATCTTGGCAAACCTTTCGTCGCCCGTCTCATAATTCAATACTGTCGTTATAAGTTCAATGCTGCTAGCTAATTGGAGGCGGTTAAGGTCTGTCAAAAATCTTGCTTAGCATATTCTGCTAAAATACAAGGCTGTTCTTGGACCCTCTGCATTCGAGTCCTGTCGCTGGAGAAGAGATTGGGTTGCGCTCTCCAAAGCTGTTTCAGCTAAGAGCCGCGGATGGAGGAGCACCATTCGCAGTACCGCGGAAAGCGGCTAGATTAGATCTACTTACAGCAGTATCTGGTAAATCAAACAAGTACTAGACTCCAAATCCATTCACACTTAAACAAAAATATGGACAATAGTTTCTACTGTCAAAATTAAAATTAGAGCAGACGAGCTATTATGTTAATTTGTTCCCAGTCAACTTCAGACCTAGTCGAGGCTTCGCCTGCTTGATCAGTACAAATTATCCATTTTTAGACTATGACAACCAATTTACCATATGAGAAAGGAGACACGATCGCCGGAACAAGAACTTCATTTACCCGCCGTTTCGGATTCACAATCGAATCCATCATTAGAGAGAGAGAGAGAGTTGGACAACGGTAAGGTGTTGTGCAGGTGTTGCAGTTGCTAGGCCACTGCATGACCATCAAAATTGGCGTCTTAAAATACTCATCGCGGGCAGATGGGAGTGGTGCGATAATCGCTTGACAGCATAGCAACTGCATGCCCATAAGTACTGCAGCACCCGTACAATACATTACCCCTGCCTGATTCAGTTTTTCATGATGGATTCGAGTGTGAATCCAAAACGGCGGGTGAATAAAGCTCTTGTTCCGATGATCGTGTCTTTTTCTTCGCGACTGCTCCCTTCGCTTTTACTGGTAATTAACTATAAGTCTACGCTACTGCTGATAGATATTCTATCGGTCAAGAACAAAAAAGACTGACAACATGCGGAAGGCAAGCAGGAGGCTGGATTACCTCCGAGGTGGCCAGCTTCAGCCTCATTATCGTGTTGCGCGACGAAGTTCGGATAAGATACAGGTCCGATCCAAGTTTCGAGAGACTTTGGAGAGGCCTGGAATCAGCATCGCCGGCGACACCTTCTGCAGCAGGTTCTTTGAGATAGGGGCGCATCTTTTCTGCAGATATGGTCATCACTAGCGCTGTCGTCGGCAAATCTGATGAAACAGCCATGAAAACATAAGTGGGTTTAAAAAAGCACTACGGAAAGTCAAGACAACTTTTAAAGTCAGAAAATGTGCCAAAGATATGAAACTCTCCTAGTAAATATGATATTTCGTAAGCTGTCACCAGAGGAACATGTGTAGAGTCCGCAAACTTGGCGAAATACGCTCGTCGAATAAATCAAAAGACAGTCATTTTAATTAAGTAACACTTCACCTTAACACGGAAGAACATCAGATACGTAGTCAGAAAGCATCACAGTGAACCGAAGTGAAACCGGATGAAGATATCGTAAAACCAAATCATAATAACACCATCTCTAGATAAATGCTGATGCTCAACGAAAACTATAGTAACTGGCCTGATGTAACAAATTCTAAGCGCACATGTTCATCAAAAAAGTTAGACAATCCACATGGCGGAAAAAAACCTTTAAAATTGCGTTCAATTGTCATTTGAGGAGAACTACTGGTGAAAAAAGGGGTTGCCAACGACTGTTCGCAGAAAAAGTTGAAACCGACACCCAATAAAGCCGACCACCTTCCCCTTCATAAACCGAAGCATGTGCGACAATCACTGAAATCCATTCTCTAGTTACAGCACGAATAAAATTGCTAAATGCGGTAGTTAGCAGCTTAGACTAACGCTTTGTGCAAAATGGAACTCCTAAAAAAACATGCAGATCACGCACCTGAAAGAAAAATTTCCAATAAAATTCGTAATATAAGTCTGGTCAATCAACTTCTCGCCTCTACTCAACAGGGTTTATAACCTCACAGATGCCACCGGACTTTGACTAACCTCATAACTTGCATTCGTAGCAAAGAAGAGGCAGTGGCAAAGCCTTTGGTAAGTACTATACAGGCGATCTGGACAACAATCGTCCTCTAATAGATTTCATTAAGCCTTGTTCGTCCGAACGCTGACAGAAGATTCTAATTGGCCCTTGTTATCCCACCCCTTGGTCGCTCACAAGTAGTGTGCTTCAAGGCATAGTGTAAACGAGAACGGTCAGAGACTTTCACTCAAATCGCTCCTACCAAGCTGAACCTAGAATTTCTTAAACAGAGCGCTTATGAAGTAGCCAAACTTTAACTGCTATGTACTAGAGGGCTTGAGGTGGATCTTTGCTTACCAGTTCGCACATTACTTTAACTCATTTGTGAAAAACTGGGTGCCTCGGTGGGATTCGAACCCACCACAGAAAGGAGAAGGCTTAAGTACAGCTAACGCTGTAACCATCTCTGTTACAAGGCCCCACTGGAGGCCGTCAGTCTAGAACTCACCAGGTGACTACCATACTTACGTAAGTAATAGATGTATTTATTCAAGTCTCATCCTTCCACATGTTAACGTCCCTATCGCAGTTGTTCTGCATAACAACACTCATAATCCCTCTTTGGTCGTTCCATCAATCCTTCGCAGTACTTCCAAACGTTCTCTTTTTCCCTCTAATTTTATCTTCCATTTAAATAACTATCCGCCAAAAATCAGATCGCCGTCCAGCTTCTCAGTGTTTACAATGGAAGTGTGCTTCTGTGTGCATATTAACTAGGACTTCGTTAAGTCTATGGTCCTCTTACCTCCATAACTATCAACCTATGGACTTTCAAAAAGGGTTCCATGACTATCCCGTCAGCCGATGGGATGTCCTCGGCCAATAGCAAGTTAAATGCGAGTCCACGCAAATATGGCTTCGTAGACGGTGGGCCACACCGAAAATCTCGCGTCCAGTGTGCAGTGTCATGGCTAACTCCGCATTTATGGGTCATTCGAGGTTGCGGCGCGCAAAGGCTTTACAGGCAGACCTCGACGATGGTGCTAAGTGAGCAGCACACAGCAACTATATGTACGTATCCTGTACGTGAAAGCATGTGGTCGTGAAGAAGTTGCCGGCAAGAATAATTACACACTATGAGTCGGGCCTTTTGCAGGAGTCAATCGATTCTTTTACTTACCCGAGCTGTTTGAGAGCTCGCGAATGATGATTGGGTAGTGTTCACCTGAGGCGTCTCCCTGTTCCGCTCGAATACGCTGATAAAGAAACAAAGCTCCTTAAATTTGCATTATGCGTAACAAAAGCTCAAGGATAGAAAACGGAAGCGTGGTACTAATTGGTAGCTGATTATTAGACAGCTGTGAAAGTGGAGACGTTCCTTTCCATTCGAAGATCAGTCAGACGCAATGCATTGATCCCATAAGTGTCTTTCCCTTATTAGATAAAGGGTAATGCCTGTAAAAATTCCGAAAGGAAATAATCCCGGTTTGTCATGGAAGACATCTACAACAGCAGGCAGTACAGAATGGGACTGTGGTCATTATAAAAAGTAAATAATTAGATCCAGACATCACACATAACTCTACGACTTCTAAATGGGCTCTGGAGGCATCAGTGTTCTAGCTGCAATAGTCTGAAAAAACTCCAAGAGAAGCCTTAGCAGACCAACCTCGCCCCGAAAGTGATTTCCTCCATGTAAACAAAAAATAAATTAGGGACTTGGGGTGGGAAAAGTCGGAAGGTCGAGAGGATCTGGAGGCATGTAAACTAGAGGAAAACTTCGACAGTGAATAGGGATACGAAGGAGACGCATCTCAACTCGGGGCTCACAATGAAATAAGCTGCAAGTGCGTGGGAAAAGTTGAAAAGACAAAGAACTATAGCCTCGATCCTGAAAGGATTCGTTTTGAATTGATAGGCGGCAACGAGAGGGCGTCAATCAGTCATCGATCTTCGGTTGTTACTAGTGAGATGTAACATAGAAGTCTTTCGAAATTGGCAAAACTAACCCGCAGTTCGATCCCATTCCGACTAATTGAGAACTCGTTCAGGTGTTCCTGCGATGGGGCTGGATAGGAGGCGTTCGAAGCAGAAAGGGTCGAGTATAGATTGAAAAGGGCTAATGCACCCCGAACGATGACAGAGGCAGGGAGAGGGGCAGTAGATGTATGAGGTTGCGCGGTGGTATTTCCTCGATCAACAGAGATGTCTCCGATCTCTGGTGTCTCCTGACTCATCTTTGATCCGGAGCGTTTGTCTTGCGTGTGCAGATTAAGGAGGAAATCAATGGACTGCAGCAGATTTTCCGGGCTGACTTCATCCTTAAACCTATGTTGCAGCAGAGATTTCAGATTAGCCGTTTCAACAATACGTTGTCTGCCAATTTATAAGTTGGATGTCCCCGAGAAGGCGAAGAGCCGTAGACCGCTAGGTCAGTAAAAGCATCGTCCAAAGACCCATTGCACTCGATTTAAAACCCACACGCACTCCAGTTCTGTGTTTAGGGTGTGGGGAGCTGACTACAATAAACAGGACAGAGTTGCCGGCCGATGCCCTCACTTATCGGTTATTTATACAAACGCAATCGCAAGGACTCCATATGCGGAACTTCAGTGGAAATGGAACGACCTTATTCCGGCCGTCAGGATAAATCGGTGAACGACGCTCCTACTTGATACAAAGAACAAGTTTTTTTTTACCAGTCACACCAACTTTTCACTACTGCCCATGATGGTATTCCAGACAGTTATTTAGTGCACAGAAAATGTCTGCCAACCACTAGAGCAACGTGCCAAGGTCTACATTGGGGGCATACGTGGCCCATTTAATGTTCGGCACGAAGAAACCGGTGTGGCATGACTTAAAAAGAGATAGGTTACACAACAGAGGCCATTGGAGGCCCAAACTACTGTCCAGGTAATCCTTAAAATTACGTGAAGGATACCATTGCCCAGGCAAGGACGGTGGTCTGCGCCTGAGATGAATCACAGGTGAGGGAGACAGGCGCTGCACCAACTACACTCTCTTCAGAAAGGCATCATATTCCAGTAACAATACAAGGGTAGGATGACTAAAGATGGGCCTAGGCGCGGTGACTGACTTGATACAAAGTTCTCCACCACGTATGGCGCGATCTTACTGGTCCCTCCACACACAAGACCCAGGTCTTATACACTCGGCTAGCAACACCAAGGACTGAGTTATCGTGTCACTTTGTAACCTTCCAAGCCGCGACAGTTAACTCGCCGTGAGAACTCACGCATTAGCGAGCGGATCGGTCTCACCTACCTCTTCCCTCTCACAGTATGAATTATTGACAAGACTGGGTCCAACTAACTGAAAATGACATCGTAAGTGGCTGTTGTCTGAGCATCACGCCCCGTATTTTGCTCGCAACAGCACGCGTGTAAGGGTTGGAACAAGGGCGCTAAACAGAATTTACAAGTGGATGTGACCACTAAGGAACAGGGGCCAGAACGGTGTCCAGTTATTACGCAGAGATTATCATGATCTATATTCCCTGCATCGATAGTATGCGTGCTTCACAGTTCTAAATAAATATTCGCAAAACACCCTTATTACGCCTGGGCATAGAGACCGAATACCTCAAGACCGGCTGCAGCACGTCACGCAGTAAGTGCACAGAAAATCGGCGTCCAAGTCACCAGACCGCATTTCAGTACAGCACGCTGGACCATGCACGTGATTGGTGCGGCGTAAGGATTACGAAGACCTCATGTTGGCCAAGCCACTTTACAGAAACTTCTGGCGAAGATTTTTGTAAACTTCGGAAAATTCACAAAATCTGCGGCACGAAATAAGTAAACCACTTGGAAAAGATGGGGAATAAACGGGTGACGAATAGAACACTCCGATAGGCAAAAGCCTCAGCTTCTTCAGAGTTTTCTCTCACAAAACCGGTAAAGGACAAAGGAATAGGAGCCCCCCTGTACTACAGATGGCCTTGCATGCAAGCGCCCAAGAATTTGTCAGTTACGAACACTTCCAAAATCAGAAGACGCATGACGTGAAGATGATAATGCTTAAAAACGTGTAAATTGCTGCAATAGGAGTATAACAAATGATTTTTTCTGCATCATTCTGGGCTGTATACTTAGAAATTACTAGTGCAAAAAGTTATTTTAAAAAATGAACTAAACAACTATTCGGTCTAATTTAAATAGCTCGCTCGAAAGCTCCACAAATAACGGCCGTCATATTCCCGCTCATGAAGAACTTGGGGTTTATTCCAGGCCCCTATTAATGCGCCCGCCTACTTATATCCATATGCCCAGTTACAAGAAGAAGAAAAGTAGAAACAAATTAATTTTCAAAAACTATCTTCTAAAAGATGGATAGTTCAAATGCTGTCCCTCTCACAGCGTGGGTTTTAACCGTGAGGCTCACCTTTTAAAGAAGATGCTTTGCGTCTGCGCCTTAAAGGTGCCTACGTGGGGCAATTGAGGTAGCAATAAAAACATGAAGTGAACGTATCGCAAACAGAGCGTTCTCAGTAAAGCCAGAAAGGATGGGAGTTTTTAGTAAACGCAGAGAGAGAGAGTTGTCGAGTTGAAGTTTGGTCTTGTTTCTTCTTTAATTTACCGACAAAGCTAGGGAATATAGACCCCAGTAATACAGGCGGTCCTGCACTAAATTCCAAACGGGTTTTGGGCTATGGTCTGAGTTAGATCACTGCGTAAATCAGAGCTCTCATCCGTTCTTCGATAGGTTTCTTGTTTGCCTAAAGATGTGAAGCTGAATTCGCTCATTTGGGTTAACTGGAGATGGCGTTTTCGCTAATATTTGAATGCCTGTTGTTCGATAGGGGGAATTTTTCGAAACTACGCGAAGAGTCCCATAAGGCTGTATTAATCAATTGAAGGAATATCTTCTAAAGGCCGGCCATGGGAACGGGATAGAGAAAGTTGGAACCTGCCCTGATAAAACATTCCAGCTACTATAAATTCCAGACGAAAACTGCTCAGAACTCTAATGATTTTCCAGATGTTTGTTCGCCGGTGTTACTTGACTCGATAATTCAAACTTTTGCTAACTATCATGGCTAAACCAGTTAAATGGGTTCGAGGTTGAACCCAACAGCATTTACGGTTTCATAAAAGATGAGGTACCCGAACAAATATAGGCAATAAGAAAATGCATAAAGTAAGACTTTGCAAAACTGCTGAGATGACTGTCAGCCTGAAATTATGGAGAAAATTCCGTTCTTAAACTGCGGTCAATTCGATGAAGATTTGATAAAAAAAAATAAACAAAACAAAAAATCGGGGCTTTTCGGATGAGGAAAGACAGGTGGACAAGGTTATACGTACCGCCCTTATCACACGTGGCATTGTGTCAAATTCCGGGGGTACCAATTCCCGTGTACTAATTTTAACTCTGACCCCAACGCTAACCCTCCCAAACCTAACTCCAACTCTAACCTTAACTCTAATCCACTGGAGTTTAGCGCGAGGCCACCTACACATATGTAACTGTGTACTACAAGGAAAACTAGTGTTGGCAAAAAAACTTGCAGTCGGTCTCGTAGTTATCGGGATTACGCGAGGACAGGGTGCGAGGGAAACCCTGCCAATGACTCCCCGAGCTTGGATCCACCAAAGTAACTGGCCGAATTTTAACAACGGCTAACTTTAATTGTTTAATCAACTGGGGAAAGGACTTGGCCACAGATCGACCACTTATCATAGAGCAGTGACAATTTAACCGGTAATGCTGTAACCCCTCACCGTCTCCCGTCACCCATTAAATGAGTGCAACGAGAACATGGACACACAAAATCCACATTCGTATACACATGTGCGCGCTTCAATAAGAAACTGTTATGCATAGAAAAAGGCCACAGTAAGTTTTGTGTAGATACCTGCCTACATATCGTCAAAAATGGGACAAGCCCGGCAAGGCAGCTTGCCAACAGGAAGGCAGAGAACGAATGAAATCAATAAAAGCGACCCATTTCCCAAACCATTCAGGCGTCGCAAAAAGTGAGTCTGCGCAATGGCGAGACAAACAAGCAACTCCGACTTCCCTCCTCCCCACCAGCGGGCTATCGACGCCAAGGCTGTTTGTACGAAAACTTCGCATACAGACCAGACCCCCCTGTTGCAGTTGTTTGCGTAACTTGTTTGCACCAGTTTGTGATTGAAAGGCTGCGTAATGAGAGGATTTTAGCCTCCTGCCCCACAGAGCGAAATCCCCCACAACACCGTTCACTTTGCTTGCTTTGACTAGGCAGCCAAGGACATAAAATATCGAGGCCACTGAGTGAACACGACCGACAGCCTCGGTACACTGAAGCGTTAGCGATACCAAGACGAGCCTGTTAGCGTGTAACGACACGTTCACGGCAGCAATCAGCTAAGACAAAACGTAATAAAATGCCAGCATTACATCTGGACACAATTGGCATAAATTGCGCACAGGACACCGATTTTTCTGAGAATGCGGTTGCATAAAGAGAGTAAACAAGGCAAAGTATGTGATACAGGCTAGCCAAAAGAAGCGGGAGAATCAGCCAGGTTTTCTGAAATCTTGCTAATCCAAACAAGCTGAGGTGAATAATGTACTACCACACTAAGGAGAGGACACCCTTGTAGCTATAGTCGTCAAATACATTCGTAAGTTGACATTTCGAACCAAGGAAATTAGGACACACGCCATTCTTAGAAGAGAACCAATCTTACGGCAGTGGTCAGGCTAAAAGGAATTACTCATTTGGTGGTAGCGGCTGATAGGCTGAAGAAATAGTCCTTGGCTGAGAACGAAGCAGCCATCGTCTGGATCTCTGCGAGATACAAAAGTAAGGTGGATGCCCCAAAGATAATATTGCGTGAAGCGCGAAATTGGAGTACGGACGTGTGAGCGCATGCTGATGGAATGATAACAATTAAGTCGCATTTACGAGCGGGGATGGGAGCATGCGAGAGGCGACTCCCAATGCCCAAAGCACGTTTACTGTTTGGAACGATAGCAGAACCATAGCAATATCGTTCAACCACGTAGCGCATTGCAGCCTGCGAAGTGAAGAACTCATCACCATCGGTTAACTGGCAGCGGCCAGCGAGGGAAATCTACCTCCAGCTGTCTGCACTGCCACCCTACGACAATCGCGCAAGCCAGATAACTCCACCAGATTATGGGCACACCATGCAACTTCATACTGCACTTCGTGGCAAAGCATAAGCCCACTATAGCACTTACCTCGGCGGCTCGACGCCCATTTAAATTCCACGCAGCTTCGGCGATGGCTTCGAGTCGAAAAAATGACAGTTCTTGACTTGTGAAGATAAATGAATGTGGTATTTGCCTAAGTTAATTTAGTCGCGTCACACAACAACCTAGGTGTAAACCTCGCGAGTGTTCCGGCGTAAGTCCTCAGTAAAATTATTCCGGTTGTGGGGTACTCTAAGGAAGTGCCAGAAATATGCTATTGTTATTTAAGAAAAAGGAATCAAAGTAGTTCGCCTGTAGAGCGAAATAAAGGTGGCTGCGTATTGCCAAAACTGGATGCGGTCTGCTGATATTATTGAAGAATAAATGACGGACGTCCTATTACAGTGCAACGGCTTCAATGTGTTAGGAGTGACTCTAGGGACTGAAAGTTCTTTGAATTCAACCAAACAAGGGGCACAGAACTCTTGTTATCATGTTGTCTACCGTACGGCAAACCCCCTAAATTGGGAAGGCTTTGGAGTGTTCTTTCGAAGAAGGCACCCCTAGTTCATTGTCTGGATTTGCCGGGACAAAAATGAAAGTGGGCGCACAAACTTAAATTCAGACTAAAGGCGAGCGGAAGACGAAACAAGATAATATTTCGCAATTTACAGGCTGAGCAAACCTCCGTATCAATAACTGCGGATTGAAACAGCGACTGCCACCGTGCCACCAGGTGTTAGCTCTAGGTCGACAGTGTCGATGCATGGAGAGGACAACGCTGATTCCCAAGTAAACAGTGTGTTGTTCTACTGACAAATAATACCATAGTCAGTGCTGGTATGGGGTATATCTAATCAGACAATGGACAGTAAACGTATGAAAATTTTGCACATACACCCCTGGGTGATTCATTGCGAGGCATGGGACGCAGCAGTATTCGGTTTTAGACATCCAAGATTTCGGCCAAAATGATGCCAACTCCACCATTTGCGTTTTTGCGAATCTCAGCGCGTGCAGCGCGCATAATTTTCTCCTTCCTCCACTGCGTTTATATGACTCCAGTGGAGCGGTGGTCCACGACCCGTCCAAAATCGGAGACATTGGGAAAAAGGGTTTGTCGCGCCAACATTTTAACCAATGCCTCCACCCCCTTGCTCCTTCTGGTCAGGCTTTCCTTTAGTCCCGATGGAACGCAAACCTTCCTTCTACCGCTATACCCTGTCTATTTGCCAGGGCAGAACTTAATGCCAGCAATGCCTAAACGCTGACGCAACTGAACGGAAACCAATTGCGAATGTAAAATGTTATTACCGACAAAGACAAGGGAGACTGGAATGGCCACTTCCAGCTAATTAGCCGTCGTCAGCCAGTTCTAGCCAACCCCGAGGTGTAGAGCACCTGGGGCTCGAACTCTCAACCTGTTAGTTAGAATTCCACCGCCTTGCTGTCCTGTCGGTTTCGATCGGGAATATACAATGGTAGGGGGGGCACTCGCCGATCGTTCTGCCTATATCATGCGCCGCCTTGCGGCTGCTGGTTGTGTTCGAGAGAGGGCCCGTAAGGCACAACGGAACGAGTGAGTCCCGTAAGAACGATCGGTGAGTGCCCTCTACCATTAGTATGAATGTGTTGTCAAAAAACTCGCAGTTAGATTCAAAGCACCAGGTACGATTGGCGTGCCACCTTCATGCAGACGAGGATATTAAGCAATGCGATGCAGAAGGCTTTGCCCTGACGGTCATTCAAGAAACGTACAGCACCCTGAATAGCCGGGAGTGATTATTGACTAATTTTATAAATATACCGTTCTAAGCCTAGTGGTTGCTTTATCGTAAGTTTCGAACTTAATCATGCAAGGCAACACCCATACCCAGTTCGCCGAACCTAACCGATTAAACTTAGAACTATTTTGGTTATCCAACTGTCAAATTGCAGTAGAAAGGAGCGCCCTCCTTCCGTCTAGTTTGCCCAAAAACTGATATCTCAGTAATCATAATTAGTCCGGAAATTCCTAGCAAGCGATCCTCGGGATAAATGACGAAGGTTTCGTGAATCTGAACAGCAGTCGTGCACATTTCTGTGCTACGCGCAAGCGCGTAGCATTCCTTCACATCCCAAAAACACCAGTTGTCATCCCCGGCAGAATACCACTAGGAAAGTAAAAAATCCTTTGAATAGTCCTTCAGCAATAAGAGCTGAAGCACATCGGAAGAGATTCCGTGTAAATTAAACCTTACGGAGTGTCTAGGAGTGCATCATAAGCACCAAAAACCAACCCGTGATATGCATATGGGTAGTTAAGATATGGAATATATGTCTAGGTAAAAAAAACAGTCAAAGCTGTAGGCTTAAGGGGTTCGACTGGGATTTACTCTGATCAGCTACAAATGGAGCGGAATAGATAAGCAGTACTCGTATCAAGGCCAAAATCGTCAGAATATGACAGATAGCGCAGTTCTCGAGGCAGGTGTAGGATGACACTCTAAGCCCCGTTGGAGCAGGCACCAACACGTCAATACAGAACAATGAATCATCATGCGAGTAAGAGGGATGAAATGCGCCCTTCAGGCGGAGGTCGCAAAAACCTACTGAAGCGCGCATTTGCAACAGCCGTAGCTGCTATTGTACGTCGACGGAACCCTGTCAGAGACCTACAGTCTCAATAGCCGAAGGCGAACTCGACCACCCCGTTAACCGAGATTGCAGACCATAACAGACAGATCGTCAGAAAAGGTAATTCGCGGTATCAACCGCCATCAACTATTTCTATCTCCTCTCTTTTTCTGTGAATACGGACGTCAACCCTTCTTCGCCTACTTGCCTCGCCTGCCTTTGCACAGGCCTTAACATCTCCCCTTCTGTCGCCCAGCCTAAAGAATAACTGGTGCACACCATTCCCAGCGCCCACTAACCACCTACCAGCGGCAGTGTAAGTCGCGCAGTAGTTTACTGGCTGGACCATTAATAATTGAAAAAGTGCGCTTGTATAGGTCGGTCTACTAAATTATGAATGCGACATTTCGCAGATGCAAGACAATCAAACGACTGCTCGACTTTTAAAGAGCTTAATGACTACTTGCGCTATGAAACAAGACTTACGCAGAAGCTAATAAAGGGAGTCAGTTTTCATATGTAAAGGAGCAAAGTTACGAAAGAATCGCAGGATCATTTAAAAACAACCCCAGGGTAAGAAATTCAGAAAATACTTAAGAGCACAATATTCAGACTTAATGGGTTACACGGATACTTCAGTAAGACGCTAAATGATAGAGTACTTACTTGAACAAGCTCGAAGAGGGTTTGTTGACCGACTGCACGGAAACGTTACCGAGCGCATCTATCCACTTTTCGGCGTTACTGTAGAGAATGGGTGTTGAGCTGCTCAACAAATAGGTCAGATTCTTGTCCGTCGCCTTAAAGCAAAGCGGCAGTAAACATAAATGGCAGGAAATTTGAGAAACTTACCGCTTTTCTTAGAAGCAGCTGCATGTCAGGATTGGAATCTAAAGGCAAAAAAGAATCTATTACAGACACGTTTATGTAGTAGTGCTTTATACACTCATCGACCAAGACAATCGCAACAAGTAAGATGCTAGACACAGAAGCCATCGCAATTGGTTGTCAACGCAGTGGCCCATTAAACGCTTCAGATTGTATGGGCAGTAGGTTCGCCTTTCCTGATTAAGACCACCGATGAACATCGACAGCGTAGTTAGCAAAAAGAGAAAATAAGGGGAACACTGGCAAATAAAAAGTATTAGGTTTTGCTAAAAATGACTTCATATCACAAACCGCGGGTCGTCACTAAGGAAGGCGAGCACAAACCTTAATCGCCTACTTCGAGTCTGAGAAAAGAATAATAGGAGAAAATTATAGCGTGTTGGACTTGTTCGGCACCCATACTCTCGTAAAGCTGACTGGTCCTAGTGTCCAGTGATCATAAAGAAAGTCAAATAAAATGAGGGCGAAGTAGGTTCATCTGGGTAATAGCAAAATTTGCTGATAACAGCAACAAAGAGCAAAAAAATGTGCCAAAAAGTCGGATAGTAAAATTTCGGAATTGGTTTAATGTACGGCAGCAGACCTAACAGCATTTGTTTAAACTTCTCAAGGATGAAAACCGGCGTTTTGAATCCTTTCGGATAAGACGGACGAAAAGAGGCAACGCAGAGCCAACCAATGAGCAACTGAGGATGGGCATTTGTTGTCCCGGTTTTACTCAAAGGATTAGCATACGCGCAGGTTCACACAGGCGCAAGGTTGCTTACCACTGAACGTAGAACGCGTCTCCTGGAGTCGCAGAACAGTAACGATGTTGAATGGCGGAATCACGCACTAGCACTAACGTTTTCGAGTTCAATCGCGTATAGTTTAAGACGCGCACAGAGGGGCAGGCCTACCAATGCAGGCAGCTGCTTAAGTCGGCACAGGAGGCCGGTCAAAAAGACGACTAGTCGGTGTGGGTAAAAGTGATTTTCTAATCTGACAACTCTGTCTTTGTCCATGGCCTGAAAGAACGTACTAACTATTATTTGGTTTTCAGCAGCCCTGTAATCTAAGATTTGCAGCGACTTCATCAAAGCATACGGCCGTTCGCTTGAAGATATGGCAACGGTATGGAGAAGGACCCCACTTAACTGACGGCAGACTATGGATCACGTCAGATGGGCTTTTATCTGGGCATCCATTCACAGGCCTCTGCAGATATTACACTGCCAATAACCATCACTTCACATGAATTTAAACAATCACTCAAACTCCTTTATTTTTTGAAATTTACTTTTAGTTTACTTTTAATTGCCACGCTCATTTCCGTTGTCTTACGAAGGCGTACGAAGAGTCTTTCGGGTGAAACCCAAACAATTTCTGTGTTTTCCTGCATTTTGTCAGCTTGTTGTCTAGTGTGCTACCGCACCCGTAAAACTACCCTTATCGTCAATCACGTATGACGCGATCCCCAGTATGCCGACAGTAGAGTGGAATCCTTCTCCATATCGTTACCGAAGGTAGTCTACCTCCCATTTTTAGCCACCAAATGAGTTCTTAAGTATAAATCTCGTTCGTAATGCACACTAGCCATTATAATTAGTTGAAGGCGAAATAAAACAGGTACATAGAGCCAAACACCCAGATGCGTTTGCTCCTACCGGCAGTTGAAATTGAGCCAAAAGCACAGGCCGTTTCAGAGAAAACAGATGACGATATGTGATAAGACAGCGGAAAAAGATCTGCTAAGTGATCATTCAAAGATGAGTGAATTTCACTGGTTGATAAAAATATTTGTATTGCATAACCGAAACTTCCGTCAGAGGGAAATCGAATTCGTCGTTCTGTTTAGAAAGCATTGTGGAATAAAGAGGCGAACTACTTTCATTAGGGAACATTCAAGAGGTAATTTAAATTGGGTAACTTCTGCTCCAACCACAGGGAGTCTACTCCATGCGATCAACAGGTTTAATAGTCCTAGCAGTCCTTCTCCTACAGAAACCGGTGCATATGTAATGCAAACCTAGAAGTATATGACTGCTCTGACCAACGAAAGGCATACTCTTCTGTCTAATCTGCATAAAGGACAACATCAGTTTGGGTCGAGCCGTGTGGCGTCCTGGCCATTAGCCATTGACCAGTGGAAAGCGGAAGTGCGATCAGGAATTGCAACTCAAAACAAGGACATGGGAAGCAGCCTGTGGGATCCAAGTAGTTGACAACAATCGAAAATCTGTGTCGATGGGCCTACTTCCAGCTAAAATGGCAGCATCTGAGTTCAGAATATTGTGCGTCTGTCATGAGAATCAGCTGAACAATTACCAGTCTCGTTTGGAACGCGCTATAATCTTCTACACCCTGCAGCCGATTCAAAATTCTACATTTCCACGAAGTCTCTGAAGTATATTTCTAAAAAAGATTCCCAAAAAGTAGACAAAACGATTCAAAATGTTAAGGTATCAGGTCAGAGGCAAATGAGAACACCTGTGGTACTTTCATGTTTGCAAAATGTTTGGGTCCTGACCGTTTCATCGCAAATAGTAATCGACCACACAACTTACAAATTGTCAAGTAAAGTGCAAAAGTGACTCATATGTGTACCGTAGATTTAGCCATGGGTATATTATCTATGGAAAACAGATCAGAGCGCCTATGACAGTAGCAAAGTACAGAGTGACTGCCTCGTGTAATTTTAAGACGTGGTTCTTGGTAGGATGATCAGTCTCACAAGCAAGCGAGTTTACTAGCTCAATTAACTCAGACTGAGAGAATAGTGCGGCCGCAGAATTCAAGTTTAAGGCAGAAGAAGTTAAGATTCCGAGCTTGGTTATATGGACTGAAAGGCTTTATAGTTACAAGCTGAGAGGATAGAGGCTGAAAATTGTGCTCCGACCGTTGACGCTGCCGCGAAACCAATAAACGCAGCCGACTATGCAAAACAAAAAATTTCTTTCATTTCTTACCCACACGCCTGTTACTAAGGACTACGTTGGCCGATCTGTTTGTCTGTTTACTGATACATACATAAAGCCGTGACTCGAGATGTCACTTCTCATAGGTCTGCCGGTCTAAAGCGTCTTTTGATCCAGGTTATCCACATGTCGGGACTAGGGTCTCTACTCGCTAGCGAGTCTAAATGCAAAGCGAACAAAAGGACTGTGACGTGAGAAGTGAAGAATGTGAGACAGTAAAAGCCCAGAACCGGAGATCTTACACGATAATTCGGCCGTCGCGAACGACGATGTTCAGCATGCGGAGTTGAGCTGCATCTGCCGTACTCTGCCCTCCCTCATCTACTTTGCCCCGATGTTGGGACAAGGTCAGGACGACTGAAGTCGGGTGTGGGCACAGTGGCTGACGAAGCTAAACAGTCATGCTGCACGCGCCACACACACGCACACACGAATCGGTCCCCATTCCGATAAGGGCAGACCGGATTTCACACAGGTGAGAACACCATAAAGGTCACATTATGAATTAATCATCGTAGCTCGGCCCTTTTTCCTTTTACAGCTGATAGCGTGTCGTTATGGAATCAGACGTGTCAGATTTACTATCATGAGAAATGCTCTGGTGTGTTGTGGAAATTGGTTCCCTAGTTTCGGTCCTACACTCTCTTGCCTCTCCCATGCACTAGCTCACTGTTCAAGTCTGTCAGTCGTCTGGTGCTGTGGATGAAAGTCCATCCACGCGTGTCACAGACGACCTGGGCCCTAACTCATCCGGTAGGGTAGACCGAAGGACATGATTCCACCTTCAGTGATACGTGCATGTTTTGACAGCGACGCTTCTTCCAACACTTTATCGCTGGCAATGGACAGCATGCTTTCTGTAGGAGAGGCATGGTGTGCTATAGACAGCTATCGTGTATGCACACATTGTGGAGTAAGTTCGCGTGGAGTGTGTCTGTGTGCATGTAGGCAGGACGATGGACATCGTCGGCCACGACGGTCAGGTTGGACGAGGTGTGATTATGGAGTCTTGATTGCATAGTTTTACTGAAGGCTTTCACGAAGGAGCATATTGTCAAGTAGGCACATGCGGTGAACTAATGTCCTGGAGCAGCAGTGGCAGGCGAGACGGGAGGGACAGGTGCAGGTTGGGACTCCTGGCACTGGTTTGCTGGCCGCATGCGATTGATTCGCAAGGGGCCGACGAGGCCGATGTGTGATTCGAAAATGCAGTCATGTTGGAGACGAGTTAAAACTGACACGCCGCTCCTGGTGAAATCAGTGATAATGGGGGCGACGATGTTGTCATTGTGACAGTCTATGGAGACGTGGGTTTGAGGATGGTTGTTTTGATGTTTCGTTTCGATCGAACATTTAGTGCCCACAAGCCACAGTCAGCTGGCCAACGGCATGTTTTGTCGACAAATTTTTAGGGTACCACAACGGATTGAGCAGTGCTAGCCCTAAATAGGGCTGCTTAGCCATCATAGGTGGCTGCCGAACTCCACTATGCGTTACGACTTTTGTTGAGTGGAAAGACTACTCGCATTATCCTGGGACCCTAGCGATTGCATATCGCACTCTGCGCAGGAAAGGTTTGTTTGGGTTGGGGATTCGTTCAGGGAATACGGCGTGTGAAGGCACACACGTCAGACATTCTCACCTACAGTAGGTGGGCTAACTCATGAAATGTCAACCGAAATTCCGACATGCGTTTTCGTTTCGAAAAGATTAATTCAGTAGCGTTGTAAAACTAATCATCGTGCAGAATAATCGTACAATAATTCAGTTACCTCCGGATGCTGGCTTTCGAATAAACTTCTTTTCTGCTGCATGATAAAACTATATTCTGCAAAAAATTATTGCTTGAGTAGCTTGCACTTTTCTTATTGATTTTCGATGACCCTTAAAAATTCAATTATATGTAATGGAAAACATGCATAAAATATTCATTCTTTTGCTCCTTCTGTAGAAAATTACGTCTTCTTCCAATACTGTACTCGAAGGAAAGGCATAATTTGGTTTTCAAAAATTTTTACGATTCCCGAATAATTGTGAACCCGACCTGCCCTTACATTTACATTTAGGGTCTCCAAACTACAAGGCGTATACTTTCCGCGTACGGAAAGCCATACATTTCTCTACGGTATTAAGAGGAGACTATATGGGGCTCATAAAATTTGACGGTGGATATGAGCCATATTGTTAACTTTACAAGCCACACTGGTAAATGAAGAGAAATGACGTTTTATAAAAGTCCATTTCGCAATATTAAAAAGCACAATTAGAAACTTCTTTAAAACCGAATTATAGCCCTCCTTCGAGTACGATATTGGAAGAGGACGTAATTTTCTACAGAGGGAGCAAAAGAATGAATATTTTTGTGCATGCTTCCCATGAAATATAATTAAATTTTTAAGGGCATCGAAAATCAATAAGAAAAGTGCAAGCTACTTAACCAATCATTTTTTTGCAGAAAATAGTTTTTGCATGCAGCCGAAAAGAAGTTCGCTCGAAAGTCCGGCATCCTGAGGTAACTGAATTATTATAGGATTACGCTGCGTGTCGATTATAACCCTCTCAATCTTTTCGAAACGAAAACGCATGCCGGAATTTCGGTTGACATTTCGTGAGTTAGCCCACCTACTGTAATTTAGCTCGCCGACAAAGGACACACAAGACAGAGAAAAAACAGTGGGAAGGTAAAAAGGAAAGTGCAGATGAGGCAATTGTCAGGTTCACGTGCATTCACCTGCGCTGACTCTTCCAAGTTGGTGGTTTGCTGTGCTGGCTGCCAGCATCTTGCTGCGGCAGGTGGGACCGCCGGGAGAGTCGACACAATCATGAATTCCACCCGTACATATCGTTTGACCAGTATTCGCCGCCATCTCACATGTGCTGTTAGTTGTAAGATACTCCGTCTCCAACGGTGGATAGAAACGCTGAGTTTTGGGAAAGGATTAAACATGCAAAAGGTTACGATTCATTCGGATCGAAAAGCTATACTACTGTACAGGTATTCCTCTCCGATAGTGCAGATACGTTAATCGTTTATATCATAGAAGCCATAAAATAGAGTGGTTCAGCAAACATTTAGCTAGGTTCCTTTCGAGTAGTTAAGTAAATATCCTCGGCAATTAGTGTGCTATTGAAAGAGCAGTGACCGTCCGGAAGAGAATTCATACACAATAGGTTTTGACGAGAATCGGAAGTCCGAAATAAAAGTCAAAAGGTGAAATTGGAAAGACGAATAACCTGCCGTTGTATGACTTTATTTAAGGTAATCCTGAGAAAACGGAGGAAGGGAATACTCCGTATGTATTGGTACTTATCATAAACCTGTGACCAAGTTGCCAATACCAGTTCACAATACCATTTTACGAGTACGAAAACGTCCGAAGAACAGAAGCGAAAGGTGAGATCCACCAGGAGTACTAATTGCCTCAAAGCCAACTTTATGCGAAAACTAGAATGAGAGTATATAGGTGTCAAGTCAAAGTCAGTCCTTCCAGATGGAAAAAAGGTGCGAAATGAGCACCTTCTCCCTCTTTGGAGTAGGCGTGCGACCTTTCAGTGCTAGAGATTACGGGCCGGAATGCTCTTAGAGTTTGCCTTTCAGAGGTTTGGTAAAAGGTCTGTGGCCAATTCAGACAATGGAGGTTTGCTAGATATCAAAGGAATAATTTGGGAACGGCAGCAAGAAGTCTTTTTAACTCGTTCTGCTTTGACACAACTAACCACCAGGAAGTAAGTAACGCCGTATGGAAGATTCAAAAAGCTCGAGGCAGGCTGTTTGGACTGGGAAAAGAGTCGAGACGGCCAGCAGTTTCAGAAGAGGTGGAAAACCAAAACCCGAAGTGTTTAGTTAAATTCCAAAGAAATATGTGCAAAGTGCACGTCTGGAAACCTGGATACCTAATTCAACTTTCCGGCGTGTCATAAGAAAACGCTTGCAACAAACCCCACACAAACTTTAGAGTGTGAAGACTTTAGAGCCGGGTGACAAAATTTTAAGATGTTCCGTGAATATATTCAAAAGAAACCTGAAGATGACGACTTCGAAAGCCGTCTAGTTTTCAGTGATAAGGCTACATTTTTACGAGTGACAAAGTGGACAGGAAACATGTTCGCATTTACTGCAGGGAAAATCCACATGTCACAAGTGAACATGAAAATGACTCACTAGAAGTGAATATATTCTATGCCATATCAAAGAACTGTGTGCATGGCCATTTTTTGTCGAGGAAAACGTAATCAGCAAGAACCACCTGGCGATGATTCAGAACTAGCAACTTGACTAAATTGAGGTAAATGAACATTCTCTAGTCATTTTTCAACAACATGAGGCTTCACCGCACTGGAAACTCACAATGCGGGCATATCCCAACAAGGGACTGCCAGCAGGGTGGATCGGACGTGCTGTTGATGAAGAAAACGTGCTATGGAAATGGCCCCCACACTCACTTAACTTGACACTATGTGAAAGGAGGGCTCTATCACCCGCCAATTCTCGCGCGTGTAGAAGGACTCAAGGTGAGAATCATTGAGGCTCTGAAAACTGTTACGCAGGAGATGCTGCAGCGAGTGCAGTAGGAACCCGACTACCGGCTTGATGTGTGCCACGTCACAAGCGGAGCACGCACTGAATAATAACTTCGGAAAGTTTTAAAATTACTACGTCATACAATATTTTAATAGAAATTTGTAGAACAAAACTTGTGTTCACCACTAGGCCTAGTAGGTATCATTGATTTTCACCGAACACCCACTCCCATATGGACATCTCAAATGATGTCGAAATCCTAAGGACATCCTGTATAATGTAGTAGAAAAGGTTCAGAGTAAAAAGCGAAAGGTTTCATTTAAGAATGCCTGGAAGAAAGGGCAAACAGATTCAGAAGACGTACTCTGGAGTCGGGGAGACAGGTCCATCCCTCTCGCGAAATGTCTGTAAGATTCCAAAAGATAAAAGCATATACGAGACTATGCGTATTAATGAAACTACTATGTGAGCAGTGATACCCTTGTAAAATGGGCATAAACGGTTGAAAAAGTTAAAAACGAAGACATACGCTTAGCTTTACATTGATGTGGTTTCAGATTTGTACTTTACTATGCACTCGAATGGTTTTCTGGTACGAATTAACGGTCTTTTACGGAGATTTAACATGGCAAGGTAAGCCCTCCCCGCCAATCCATAATATACAACTCCAGTACACCGACTACGATTAAATTGTAAAAAAGACAAGGTCAAAACCAGCCAGCGGTCTTTGTTGTTCTTCGTGAGTGTCACCACCATTGCTGTGTGTCAGGTGTCTAAATGTCACTGTTTCGTACATACACAGGAACTAAGCAAGTTTTTCTTCTAATAAGTTCTTGTTGTCATCATGATGGTGGGAGAAACATATTCTCGTAATGGACAGTAATTTCAAAGACAAAAGAAGCTACTGGGTGCAGCAAGAGACAAAGGTCCAATCGTAGACGCTGACGATGGTCTCGGGGATCAATATATGCCTATTTGCAGTATGCGCGCACTTTTTCGAATCCTACTTAATGATATATCTAAGGTTAAATGAAAATGGAGGAAAGTAAGGCTCAGAAAGAAGGTCAATAAACCTGTCAAAGACATTAATGTTTCCGGTCATTTAATATTTCTGAAAACCGTATATCGTGCTTGTCAAGGAACATCGGTTTGGCTCCGTCTGAAACCGGTCATAGACGTCTTGGGAAGTGGATAATGAAGGAAAACATCTTGCCTGGACCTTTGGAGAGCCGCAAAATGAGTTAATGTTTCAATAACCGCGGGTGACAATTATTACTCATTGCGTCTTCTTCTGTTAGCTTTGTGACGACGAAAACTTCAGAGAAGCGTTTGGACAAAATAAACAAAAAGGAAGTTCGCGGACAACAGCACGGTTAAGGAGGAGGGTCGTGTTTAACGTTCGCTGCCAACCACCAATCAGTCGTGGTAAACTCTACACCGAATCCACTGAAATAGCTGCATTAGTCGAGTGGGATGGCGGGAATCAAAAAACTCCCAGACAAACAAATGACTTCCCGGCAACTTTCAGGGCTGCTGGCGTCTGTCTGGCGTGGTCACTTGTCTGTTCATGGCACACACGGGATGGCTCTTTCCAGGCAAGCAGAACAGCCGGTAGGCGAAAAGGCAAGGTACATAGAAGAGCTCCCCGATCGGCATGCAGTAGGTAAGAACACATGGAGGTGAGGACTTACCAGAACACGGAATAGAGTAGGACTCGTTGGCACAACGATAGCCGGGAAATAGGTTATGGCATTCCGCTTGGCAGATCTGGATGGACTCTGCGGCAGCAACTTCGCACTCATTTAGGTCCACTGTAAATTGGAGAAAAAGAAGCGTACGGTGGGACATTAAGTCAGCCTAACAGGAGGTACAGCGTCATGGATAGCGAAAATTCGGTCCCTTCGTTTGAGTCAACGTCGCTGCGGCAGTCGGACCAAAGGAGATAGAAAAGTAGGCTGGAGCTTAAGGAGTCAGGCTACACAGGTTACCTGTGACCTATGAGGAACTTTTAGCAAACAGAGAACTGAAGCCGTTAGGATACTGCGCAGAAGTCCGAGTCCAGCGACGCGAAAGTTTTGTTTGAGAAACAAACTGAGATTGGTGTCTCGCTCTGGTACTAGAACACTATTACTAAAAACAACCGTCATCCCGTTTGCCTGACTGTTTTAATGATAGAAAAAGTAGTTTGTGAAGCTGATTTGTCCTGTTTTTCTCTTATGTTAAGAAACAGCCAATGGTAATCGCTCAATAGAGACTAAAATTCGAATAAACAAAAGACTCAGGGAGGTACAACCTAAAAAGGCTGGCGCGCAGATTTCAGCATAGCTTTCTTATTAAATCATGGATGTTTTTAATCAAAGTCCTTTTTCTTCAACAAATTTACCTCGAAACTCGCCTAAACAAGTCATATTTACAAACGCAGCTCCCCTTCGTTAAGTAAAATGACCTACTCAGGAAATAAGATAAATCTTACGGTCGGTGAACCATTGGCAGTACCTCGTATCCGAACGTCCACAAAGTAGGCCACACCATCGATGGCGACCATACACCTAAAAAAGAGTGTTAACAGAGACCAAATGCCAGTTACTCTAGAACAGCGTATGGATTGAAAGGGCGGAATTTTGTGCCAAAATTCTACTCTGGTCAGATTTATAAAAGAGTGACGGTGGGTAGTTTAAGGCGACAGTCCCTAGCTTCTTGGTTAAGTCCGCCGACGTAACCCATCTTATTCAGCTTGACTATGCAGATAGTGGTCTTAGTTTTCTGCCTAAATGTAGTTTCACCAATCAGGGTATGAAGCGTGAAATAAATGCCCCGGAAACATCCATGACCTTACTTGGAGACCTTGGCTGCAAATTTTTGTCTCGATAATGGCAGGGTCCATTACCTGGGGTTTCATTGGAAGCAGGAAAATTTGGCCATAAAAACACTATGGGTTTGCCTCGCGTTTTATCAAATAAATCATTTTAGAGGCAATACAGCCCTGACTTTTTAAAAGCTTCTGCATTGGGATTCATTTAGCGCCGCAACGGGAAGCGTACATAAAAAAATTGAGCTCAAGGTCTTGACAATCAAGATTTCTGCGCAGCGCGGTACAGACGTTTTCATGTGACTGTCTGCTGACTGAGCCAAGCCGCTATCTGAATAAGCGGACCGAAATGTCTGACGAACAAAACTGCACTTAAGTATCACCAGCCGAATGCACAGCAACTTTGCGACGTGCAAAGCCATGCACGGTCCAAGTTGTGATTTGCATTTTTGCTGACCGAGTGTATGTGGAAAATTGTCCGTGTACCATAGGATGTATTCTCCTCGTCTAAATGTGTGATTTTTCTTAAACGCAAAACATGGCAAGCGATTAACTTTCGCAAATGAAATAATTGCTATAAATCTAAGGAACCTAGATTTTTTCTGTCCCTAAAAACCCACATAACCGGAACTGATGCGGTGGCAGTTTGAGTACATGTCTTTTTTCATGTTCCCACTTTTGAATTTTATAGCAATTTTCAACCGGAGGCGACATAAGTACATTCACGATTCCATGTACAACAGTACAGGCAGCGTTAGCGGATCCAGATTCCTAGCATCGAAAAAATCGTTTACTAGTCAAGCAGCAAGCTACCCCCACTGCAGGCATAAATTTCATGCAAGTCGCAACCGGAAGTAGTCGCCAGACACTTTGCAGTCGCCTAGGGCAAATGCGAAGGATGCCGTTTTGTTAAAGTGACAATTTAATACAAGCCGAAAAATAGACCGTCATAAGGTAGAAGTCGGTAATGCCCAACTTAAATAAAGATATAACAGCATTTATAGCCTTATTGAATAGCTGGGTATGGCTCACATTTCATTGTTAAAATTAAATTTCGAAATGTTCTAGAACACTATTTGCCATTATGAGAGTGGAGACTTCCAGGTTATGCTGAAAATTATACAAAGGATTTGCGCAAGTTTAATTAAGTGAAGTCATGAGAGCTTCACGCGTTACGGTTGACTTCTCAGTGAGAAAAATAAGGAGATGAAACACGAAAACTCGAAAGATGACAAGAGGCAAAAATTGTATTTCGATTATGGATGGGACTCTTAGGAAACCACGCATGACGAGTTTGACCTATCGATTTTCGATGCTTACATAAATGTATGAATATCCTTTCTTGTACTCATTTGGTAGCAAACCGCGCCTTTTCAAAGTTTGTACTTAAAGAAGGGGCATTGAAAATTAATAGCGAAAATTTAAACTACTAAGGTTGTCATTTTTACCGAGCGTGTCTTTTGTAGACGGTCAGAAAATGTTCTTCTAAATGTCGTTATTCTGGTGTGACTAAAATATCTTGGGATTACACCGCCCGATTACTAATAGCACACTTCCACCTGAGTAATCCCCTCTAGTTGGAAGCACATTGCAGAATTTCGGTTAACATTTCATCAGATAGACCAGATGCTGTATGGCTAGTGGTCAAGGGGAGGCAATTGCATGCTTACACGAAAGAAACAAAAGGATGGATGGAATAGTAAGTAACGGGCCTGAAGATTTAGTGGCCGTCAGGATTTATCGAACACGTGTGAACTGCTTTTGAGTTTTCTGCAAAGTTTCCGATACATTCTGAGGACGTTCTAAATAAATCTATTCTATTCTATTTTATCACCACTTGTCCGCTGTCTTGAGCCAACCTACCAAAGAGAAGCACATTTAAAAAGTTTTCACATCTGCAAGCAAGCAAACGTCTCGCTACGTTAGTTCATTTGTATGTACCTGTGTTTCTCATCCTCCTTCGCAGTCACTTCATATCTTACGTCATAGCGGTCTTCAAAGCGCTGGTTCACCTGAACCCCAGTGTATGGTGAGCCATCGGCATCAAGACTGCTGCAAGACCCATTGCGCACTTTGCCCTGTTAGGAAGTATAATTCCGAAGAAAGTCAATGATTGAGAAAAAGTGCACGCTTTGTCACTAGGGGCAACATCGAGTGAGATTCAAAGGAGCTGCATTGATGGGAAGAGTTATACTGACTTATCTAGCATGATAGTTTTGATTTTGCCATCTCACCTGTGTAATGCTTTGAAAGAGAGGGAATTTGTTGAGCTCATGGAGAAAAACCCAATGATCGTCACCTAAGTCAATTTTTACTGACTAGAAAAGTAATTTTAAGATGATGAAAGTAGGTTTGCGGATAATTGTGTTGACTGAAAATCCTTCTGCAGCATTCAGGCGCTTAGAGACTGTTCCGGCGTAAGCAAGCAATAAGGTTGGTTTTCCTGCTATTACGAAAGGGGGTCAATAAGACGTAACGAGAGGTATTCCTGGTAAAACAACCAACTGAAACCACCATCTTTAGCTTATTTGCCATTGATATCAAGGAAAAACGATACAGGGTACGGATGCTGACCAGGTTTGTCGCTGAACTCCCTGTATGTGGCCTTTAAAGGGGACTACTTAAAACCAAGTGGCAGCGGCGCTTGCTAACCTGACTGAAATGCAGCATGGAATATGGGGAGTTTAATGGTACCGCCAAATTTAAAGACCTCTAGTTCAGCTGCACATGGTCATTGGATAGTTACGTGCAAAATGGGACAATGAATTCAAACATGATAAGACAGCCAGTCAAGTAAATGAGCTCCACAGACGGGCCTGGTGAAGGTGAGGAGGCAGGAGGGCTAACTAGCATTCTGGCTGTGTAGGAAGTACGGAGTTAATAACATAATATAATTGAAGCAGGGCTCTGGCTTCCGCCTCATAATAATACAACTTTAGAGTAACGTTGTGAAATGGCCGATACCTAACATTCCTAAGACGAGAAAAAAATTAATTGGGTTACAGTGGCGGATAAAGCAGATCTCAATCATAGGGCAAAACGTCGAGATCTCTATTTAAGTTATAACAGGTTGTACAAATAACATCCTTAAGAGGTGATTTTCTCGAGTCGATGCCTAACTATTCACGAAATTGAATAAGTGAAAATCAACGTCCACCAACAAGCAAACCGAAATTGAACTTCTCATACTAAGCCCGTCTACTAATTGCAAAGATGTTTCGTGTACCGCAGTTTAATAGCATTCTTCTGTCTTTTTAGGTATTAGCCACTGTCATTTGCAATGAGTGAACAGTGACATTTCAACCGCAAGTTAAGGACAGTAAGGCAAAAAACATCGCTCAGTTAGTCCAGACGAGAATCTGAAAGATGCAGTGGTATTAAAAAAACTGAAAAGAATCGGAATCCCAGTTAGCGATGCAAACGTAGCCTTTTCAGCCAAGAGAAATTCGTGATAATTTATCATTTCGAGGTGGAATTGAAAAGGCCTTAAAATGTAGCCTGGGAGTAGGATAGGCATTTACGTATATATGAGCAAATAAAAGCGCCTGGAAAAGGAAAAAAACAATTTAAAACAGGTTTAGAAGTGATCAGTAAAAAATGATGCTTATGTGTTTTCATAATTACCTCCTGGGATAAAACCGTTTTTATCATTACAGAAAGTTTGAAGTATGGACTTACTGAGTTTCATAAGATGGCAATTTCAGTTGACGTGGAACGAATGCGCTAAAAACTAACCGTTTTGCATATCGTCGTATTGATAAGCAGCAAGGCATCCGGCGCTGCAAATACTTGCACGGAAAAAACCTCATCCCTACGTCCTATGGTCAGTGTGCCACGAGCCTCGATCAGCTCACCGAGTAGTGAAAAAGTGCAGTATGCCGTATGCGTGTTATTCTCAGCAACAGCACTACAAAGGACAATGTATCGTAAAACGGAGACATAAAAACAAGAGAACTACGTTATATTTCCAACGTCCGGAAAGACCGGAAGAATGAGGGACTCCGATGAATTCTCAGGACAGCCAAAAAATATACTATAGACGGTGGCTGATGAGTACCATATTTTCCGGTTCTAAAATGAGGCATAAATAAAAAGCAAACGACGAAAACCGGAAGTTGAAGCGGACAGACAAGTGCTGTGGATGAATTGCTCCAGCGAAGGTATCTGGGTCCGGAAAAATCTGCGACTAGTGTCCGTCGACGGGATGCTGCTGAAATTTAAAAAAATGTATGGAAAAAGCTGAAATACCAGAAAAATGTGGCGCAAAAATCTTAAAGCGCAACGTTCGCATCCTATTTAAAATTATAAATCAGCAAGGGGCGCCGGAAAAGCATAACTGCAAATGATGACAGTGAGAGAGGAACGACACTTATGAGTAACAAAGGACTATTTTACAGTTTCTACATCTCTAAAAATAGATTCCCAGTCTAAAACAATGTTACAAAATTAGGCGGAACAAATATCTGAGGCACGGACGTCCGAAATGTCTGAAAAACTATAAAAATGAAATAGAACGACGGCAAAATAGAGGGCATTTCGTCTTCTATTAAGTTGCAGATAGATTAGAGAGTTAAGTAATTAATTTTAAGGCTCCGAACGAAATCACTGATGAAATAACACAATCTTCGAAATGGTCAGTTAGGAGAACTGATTCGAGAATATTTAACGTGAAAGAAAACAGCATATTTTCCTAAAATCAGATCCAGGATCCATAACGTGATGCAGCTTGATAGAAATATGTAATTATTAAAGCATGCCAATTTTTGTTCATCCGCGCTGTTAGGCGTTATGGTCAGAAAGTTTTTTTACTTTGTGACCTCTTTCTCATCGTTGCCTTGATCATAGTGTTGTGTTGGGACATAGAACATAAACCGCAGAATCAATATTACTCCCAGAGTCTGACCGCGCAAATCATAGGTTCAACGGTGAAAGCATGGTTGAGCCGCGTATCCGCTTGTACTCTTAGAAAGGCATGTGCGTATTTTTTAGGACCTAAACGATGTCAGATCGAGTGTCCATTTGAAAATTAAACTCTGCATAAGTCAGCATGGCTGTTGAGGTGCGAGATAACCTTTTAAAAGAATTTTGACTGGTTTAGAACAAATATGTGAATATGATTTAATAACATTTTACATTTCAAATATTTTGCCTGAAAGCGAAGTAGTTAAGGTAATCAGCAAAGTGCACGGTAAAGAATATAAACAAAAAGCCTTTGTAAATTTTTATGCGCGGGAAAAACTGTAAATGTGGTAAACCATTCACAGGTGACATATGCAAGGCATAGTAAAAAAGAACATATAAATTGCGCGACCCTTCACGGACCACCTAATTGTAAATAAACGCTATAGTTAGACTAGGTCAGTGGTTCTGTAGGCTACAAACCAGGTAAATGCTCGTCACCACTCAATGCAACAAGCGGACCACATGCCTTTTCATATGGCGGCTCTGTTTAAATGTTCAGCTATGCGAATAGTCCGTGAAACGCGTCCTCGTGGTCGACAGACAGACGTAAGTTTCATTGCAAGTGCCTAGATGCATTTAGGGACCCGTTGCTACTTTAAGACAGAAAGCATTGGTTGTAAATTAAATGTTACTGATTACTATTGGCTTGGCAGAATAAACGTGCAATTTGCACCATTTACGTATTCAGTATATGGGGCGTTGTAAAAGCATGTCGCAAATTCCTCTCAAGTGGCGAATTTGAATTTCTATGTTCACGAATACGACGTCTACATATCCTCAAAGATGCTCACTTACCACTTCGAGTACAAATGTCTTCCGCAGTTACCCGAAATATTTATGAAATCGAATTATACGGACGTAAGTCTCCCTCATTATTACTGAACGCGATCTAATCTAAAATGCATATTCTTGCGAATATGCCAAGTCAACAATGGTTCGTCATCAGAGGAAAATGATAGAAAGTGGAATATCGCCGCTATTTCAAGCGCTGTTGTACTTAGGAAAACAGTGCGTACATCGACTAGGTCTTTTCGTAAAGCCTGCTCTTTTTTCATAAAAACTCAGGATACTGTCTGACGATCTAAAATTTGGAGTTGATATTCCACTAAATGAAACGAGGATTATGTAACGACTCTCCAAAAGGCGAAATTTGGAGGAATAAAAAGGTAAATACAGACAAAAGTGAGATAATCTAGACAGGAAAATAATGTACTTGACCGCGGTAAATATATATTTACTGGTAATATGCATAGACACTTTAACTTAACAAACTAAAAGACTCAAAACCAAACAAAAACAAGGTACAATCTACACAAATTTCTACCACCCTTCGAATTAGGAATTACTAGTAAGTACGTAAGATTAAACTTACGTACGCAATTTATTCAATGAACCAAAAATGTCTCAAAAACATTAACACTGAAAATCCAGTAATAATCAATAAAATCACCATTCTCAGCGGAGAGGAGAACGCCAAAAAGCAGCACATAAAAAGTGAAGAAAGCCAACGGCATCTTCACCCTATCCACATGTCCAGCCGTTTATCCTAAGGTTTCAGATTAAAATGCGTAGTAGTTATACAGTAGATTAAAACGTATGTAAAACAAATAAGCAGCTTCAGGAAAGCCAATGAGGAGTATCGCTGCCGAGCATCCACAAGCAAGATTTTTTTTGGTTCAGCCCGTATGTATTCAGGTTAAACTAGGTGAAAGATTTCGCTGTGTAACCTGGTGCAACACTTAAACTTTACGACGTATTGAGTCCACTTATTTCTCGATTTTTCTCCGTAAAAAACTAGTTAATGTCGCGACTGAGGTTAACCTTCCTTTACTGTGTCACGGTAGGCTGCGAACGCTCTCTCGTTGATTTTATCGATAAAACGGCGTCTCTGTTCTGCTCTTTATCTGCCAAATTTTTGAGCATACTAGTGGGATATCCACCTAAAGGCGGCAAGCAGGAACAGTTAACGTAGCCAGCAACCACTCGTTAAATGTCGTGTAACCTATTTTTATATTCGGAGCTCATAAAAAGGCTCAGAGTTTCACTTTTTGAAACTCTCTCGCAAGTTCAATAGAGGGCACAATATTGGTCGCTGAGAGTTTAATGCCATCTAGTGCTTTGAAGACCCTATCGAAAAGGATATGCATGGTAGTGATCTACAAATAAATATATTCCTATGATGTTATTGGAAATATAAACATTTTACTTAAATTTAACTGAAATTTTTTTAACAGACCGGGACTGAAAACAGGGCATCCTTAGTTGTGGACTTTTAGGTCTCTACGTCGATGCACGCAGCTCAATTTCAAAGATGAGTGAAGCTTTGCGTATTTTCGCATAAGCTACTCTCAGAAGTCTCTTTGTATGGCCAGGCATAATTCCTCCCTGTCCTTTTAGACAGTATGGTGATTTGACTACATTTTATGAGGCGCTCGCTTATTGACGCGGTTCCAAACCGCCTTTTTCTAATTACCGTATTAAGTCAACAGCAGTAATTGCTGTTCTTCGAGTCTTGCTATAAGTCAGTAATGCTTTGATGAAAATGCCGCAAGGAAAATCCGGACCTGTACCCTTTAATGCCCAGAGGCAGACCTGATAAAAGAAGAAGGCCCACAGTCTCCTCGTTATCTCTGAGTGCTAGAATTCTGGCCGGAGACACGAGTGCCAGCGTGCGCTCGCAGCCTTCTCTAGATATGGCTAGACGAAAAAATCCCATTAGCCCATATACTATCTCTTGAACAAAACTACGTTTTTGCTAGTCTTTACAGAATGTCATTATTCGAAGTACTAGATCATTTGCTGTATGGCGACATAAACAGTTCTTCCGATAAAGTTATTGAACAGTCGTTTAAGGTCAGTTGGGTTATAACCTACGAAACTGAGGAGAGGATAAAACGTAAGCATAATTTCATGCAGCGTAACATCCCAAATCACATATCTGCGATTGAGTACTCCTACTTATTTCTGAAAAGTTGCGGCTTAAATTACAGAGTCACGCAAGCTAAACGGTTAACTCTTCTTCGGCCATAATGAACCGATACTACATACTCTCTTCTCCTTGGTAGAAGTTGACTTCGTCTCGTCGAGGAAGGAGATAACTACAGAACTCTTCCGTAAATGGCATTGTCAAGTTTCCCCGGATATCACCCCAACGCAGGGAAAACAGAAAAATTTAAAAATTTCGGAAACCAACACCAATATAATGGTCCCTGTCGTCATTTTGAGTAAGTCCTCTTCGACATAATCTGCGGTCTCACCACGTCATGACGTAGTCAATGCCGTAGGTAACTGGACTACTCTTGATGTTGAGACCTTTAAACGCAACAACACGCCTCGTATACAAACACCCCTAGCGACTTCGCCGGCAAACTATAGTAAACCAAAGCAAGTGTTGCACACAGCTGTCATGGCAAATTCACGACTCTGGCTAGTGCCTGCAGCAGCGACAAACTGCTTTGCTATGCACGTCTGCTTGGCCTCGATTTGTTTCGTTGCCATTCCGTATACACCATACTTCTTGTAAATTCTCCGCCTGTACCATGCAAGGCTTGTCACTGCTTTCGCATGGGCTCGGAGCCAGTCAGTGAAGCTCCTTTGATGATTGATGCCACGGGCGGACAGGGAAGACCACTGGCGTAAACAAACTCCCACGATAATTTTGCGACTGCGATCTTCGATTACAACTGAGACGTCGCTCTCGCGGACGCCGCTTACGCGGCGCCAAGCGCATCCTCGTTCGGCAGCTAGCTTTTCTCCCTTATTCGGTACAGAAAAAGTCATCTTTCCAACTGCCGTCCCAAATTTTCTTTTTACAACTTTGGATTTGGCCTTAATATTGTAGCGCACTGTGCATTCTCTCTCACCGCCTAGGTGCTGCACAAGTGCCTAAGTCAAAACGAGGGCGAGTGCAATTTCAAATATTTGAGCACTGAGCGAATCCATTTACTATAAGAAATTGTCCGCAACTCTCGCAAAATACACGATCCCAAATGTAGTTTACTTCCAACAACCCCCTGACCTCAAATAGTAACGGCTAAACCGAATGTGCCAAAATTCCTACCTTTGAATAGAACTTCCGCCCAATTGAAGCAGTACGTCCTCCACCACCAAAATGGTCCCACGATGGCCGTTTTACCAATGCATTCCTCATGCGAATGCTCACATTGAGTCAGTTAACTCACCTGGTCTAAAGTTTTACTCCGGCGGGTATACGTTATAGTATCCTACATGTAGATTCCCAGTAGAAAATCAGCTAGTTAAAGATAGTAAGCAGTTTCATGCCCGTCATTTCTTTCCCAATTCCTACTTCTCTTTATCCGCATAAGGGTATTTGATGCCACAAATTTTTTGCAGAACTGGGCAGGTGCAGTCGGACCATATGTTCCGTGGGCAGGTAAACACTGGACAACGTAGCCCACCTCCTTAAGAAACAAGCAGTCTTTCCCCTTAAGTTTCTTGTTTTACATGCCAGATGCTCGCTAAATATGATGCTTCTGCTTCAGAATCTGATGTTCACTCACTGCCCAGATATCGTTGTAGTAACTGAGACATGAGCAACAGCCTCCAGATCTGACTCCGAACTCTCTCTTCTACGCTATAATTGCATTCCAAAGGATCGTCAAGAGAGCCGTGGTGGGGGCCGTTGCATCTAGGTTAAGCAAACACTTATGTTTCTGGCGCTGGAGCTCCCACATTTTGCGCGGTAAAAGGCAGCTGCTGGCTTCAAATACGTTCTCTTCTCTCTTTGGTTCTGTCAATCCTCCTCCCAGCGCCAATGAGAATTTTGATCGTTGACTCTCACAAACCTTTCATGCTGCGGCCGACTTAAGCTTTAACTATCAGTTGGTTGGCGGTGGCTTCAATCTTCCTGAAGTCTACTGGTCTCCGCTTTTCGGCCCGAGAAGGCTCGAAGACTTCTCTGAGGCTGTGGATGTTGGGATTTGGAGTCAGGTTCTTGATTTTGCTACCCGAAAATCAAGCATACTTGTCATAATTTTCTGTAGAAGTGTTATGGCTTTGTAAGCGTCATTCCTAGGCCCACTCGAGGGCTAAGACCATGTCATAGTTTTTTCAACTTTCAAAATTATGTTCCCAAACTATAGCTTCTTTTTTGATTTCCAATCGGTCCGCTCGGCGGAAATATTAGTACACCTTCGGACGTAGATGTTTGCACCGCCAAGCTGTACGAAATTTTGGATCCACTTATTTCTTGTTTTGTCCCCCGTAAGAAAATAATTAATGTCGGGGGTGAGGTTTTCTTCCCCTTGCCCCTTTGCCGTATGTTGCGCAGACTATCCCGTTGATTCCACCTTCAGAACGATGTTTTCATTCTGCCCTCGATTTGTGATATTATTGAGGGGGCTAAGAGATTGTCCGAAATAGTACATCTAGCCGAATCGGTTTACACTACCGTTAACCATTCGTTACACTTCGCGAGACGGTTTTTCTCGAAAAGTAAGGGCTTACAGAAAAACGCAACCTTACATTGTCAGAGAGGCTCTTGGAATTCCTATGCTGGACGCCAGTTGACCGCTGATAGTTTCAATGCTTACTTGCCCAAAAAGTTTATAAAATACTCGATCGTTCCCTTCCGACCATTCGGGCGTTGACCCGGACCGTTCTCGGAACGATAACGTTCACTCTGAAGGATGAAACTGTAGTGATTCGACATTTCCGTTAATCTCATATCCCGGGACCTGATGGTGTCTCATTTAGCATTTTGAAAGCTGGCGCAAATGAAATTTTCTCGGCCCTTCTGTGCAAGATATTTAATCTCACTCTTGAAAGTGAAACCCATCCTACTTTGTGGAAATAATCGCACATCCTGTTTATTTCCAAGCACGGGATGTCTACGTCATTTGATAACTATTGCCAATGAACACACTCCCGTAGTTTCGAAAAACTTAGAGATATTGATGTACGATAAAATGATGTGCCACTTAACAGAGAATAACCTACTGGGTACTACTCAGCATGGATTCCTCTGATTACATATGAAACTGTCCTTAATCTGTCTGACATCAAACTTAATAAGCTACAATCACAGGCTTTATCAATAGGACTTGGCGTTTTCTTTCCGAACAGGAGATATAACCCAGTTGAAATTGAGGCTCAGTTTAAAGACTTGAATCCTCAACTATCTGGCCTCGTACCTAGATTCACTGACGATGTCGGCTGGCCAAAAGCAAGATTTGTGTACATTGTTCATCAATACCATAAAGCTCCTGTAACACAGCGGACTCCATTAACCAAGTAACACACAACTGCCCTATCTGTTTTGATGGGACCCGGACGCGGGTCTTTAATCAAAAAATCATTATCATAAACAAATAATAATGTCTAAGTCTGGCAAAAGCCACTGACTTTTTATTCTAACCGAGAAAATTGTGTGGGGAAAATAAAGTGTATTTTAAATGATCAGAGCGCATTTCGTCCAGAAATGTCTGGCAAAGATGAAACCAAGACATTGAGAAACTTAGTCTGGAATAAGGTTCAACATTTGCTGGACAAAGCC